GTCCGCTGGACGTGTGGGGGTCACTGCCGCCTTTCCTCCCTGGAGATTTTCCTGCGCCCTCGGGAGCGTGGGGTCCTCAGCTCCCACGCACACCAGTGGTCTGAGCGTAGCTTCCCCTCAGCGTCTCCACCTGGGGCAGCGTATGGGAGGGACAGAGGTCCGTTCGGGGCCCAGCATTACCACTTGGTGGCTCCGTGACCTTGGTCAAGTTTTTAACCCTAACCTGCACATTATACATATTAAAATCAGGGTCATAATGATAATACCTGTTTTAAAAGATGGTTGTAAATGTGAAAGAGAAGATGTAGCTAAAGTGTGTTGCAGCTGACACCCAGAGGCGTTCAGTCTGTTAATTATCATAATATTAGTGTGAGTCTGAGTCTGTCAAATGCCTTTGGTGTGGGGGGAATCAATCATATGTTGTCCTTTATTTTTCTCTGTGTTTTCCCCAAATCAGAGGTGACGCTCTGTACCATTTGCTCAGAGGCAGCTGTTGCCACAGGACGGAACGGCCCGGCCGCTGTGGAATCAGCACCTTGGACAGAGCCCGAGGCTGGGTACACACTGTATCCTTTCTCGTCAGTGTCAGTCAGCAGACAGAGCCGAATGGATTCTTTCCCTCACTGATTTGTTTCTGATTTTTATACCAAACTGGCAGAAGCAGGAAGGCGGTCGGTTGTGAGGACATGACCTTTGCTCTCTGAATTCCTCTTGTCGGGACTGATGGTGTCGCCTGGGCCTTGCCAGGGCTTTCCCGAGGTCGCGTCTGAGCAGAGCACTGGTTTGGCAAAGAGCACTGTTGTCGCTGGGCCGGCCGTCATTGTCATCGCCGTTATCACTTCCCATTCCGTTTTAGATACCAGCCTTGTCCCAACTCACTGCCGTTGTAAAGTGTGTCTCGGAAAACACTGTACTCTGCTAATTCCACTTCATGGATGTATTCGCTTATCGGGTCACTGGGGAGGAAGAGATACTTGGTGTCAAAGGTAGCTCGGCTCACGTGACTGCTCTGTCGAGGAAGAAAGTTTTCTGTGGAGCCTGTGCACACTGCCCACCCTCACCTCCCTGACCCACCGGGATCACTCCAGAGACTGTGGGCTTCCTGAGTCGCCCCCCGAAACACACAATCAGTGTGTTATTCTCTCACTTCTTAAAAGCTCTCTCATTGATTTTTCTGTCCCTGCCCTGCCTCAGCCTTGTGCCGGTGGCCACTCCGCACCGAAGCAGTGATTAGCACCGCAGCCCCCGCCCGTCTGACCGGTGCCGTGGAGTTGACATGAGCATCTGTGTGCAGACGGGTCCTGGGAGGCTCAGTCTTTACCTTAACGAAGCTCTGATGGGCGAGTTTTCCTGCGCATGTGAGCAGCTCACAAACTCCGTGCACACAGGCGACGTTAGCTCAGTGGGCAGAACGCCCCTCTGTGACCTCCCGGTACGAACTCTGCCGCCTGTCATTCCCCTTCCGGTTCCCATCCTCACCCTGGACTGCCCTGCGGCACGAACACCGTTATCACGTGCACCCCTGAAGGCTTTGGGGAGCAGGCGGGAGATGGTTTATAGATCGTTATGTGTTGTATATGATAAGCAGGCTACGGCCAGTCACATTTTACGCAGAAATTTAGCTCTAAAGTTGGCAGAAAAAGTGACCCTTGATGACCCTTCGGCAGGAGCAGCTTGGAGAGGCTCCGTAACTTCAGGACCAGGGACAGGGTGCTCCAGGGTTTTCGGGTTTGTTTTCAGCTCCCCCCAGGCCCCCCCAACACTGTGATCCCCTCTCGTTCCCCCCTCTCCTCCACTCACTCCACCCACCCCTGCCTTCACGCTGCAGCCACTCACGGAGCCCCTTCAGGAAGAGATACTACCCGGCACGTCACCAGGTCGACTCAGACACTTTTCATCACCTGCTGTTACAGTGGGACGATCGCATCACCCTCGTGCCGGTGGTTATAGTGGCCTCTCACACCACGGCGACAGACTCTGGGCTGTGTGTGCGCCTGGTGCGGTTATGCGTTTACAATTCACAGTGTGAGTACGTGGGCCAGGGCTGAAAGTGGTCTATAAAGTTTTTACAGCGTTTGTAAACCACGAAGCCGAAGTGAATGAATGGGCGGGAGGGAAAGCAGGGGAGGCGGGAAGACCAGCGCGGCGACTTGCTGCGGTCTGACGGGTCGGACGGCGCTTCGCTGCGGTCAGTCCTCTGCAGTGAGGATGGTGACGCTGACGGTCGGCTGGAAGTGGCCTCGGGGTTCCTGCGACCAGGTCACTCAGGTACCTGCAGACTCTGCTCCTTTAGCACCTGTGGTGTCCCTCGGCTCCCGTTCTGCGCGAGGCGCCGTGCACGCCGGCCTGGCTGCTTCCCGTGATCTCAGAACCAATGGGATGGCCCAGCCAACATTTCTGTCATTGTGGCACCACTGCCACACCCCGGGTGGCCGTCTGCCACACCCACAGGACAGGGGTGGGCGTTCTCCCCCGTGTCCAGGGTGCCCAGGGAGCCCAGCTGGCCTCACACATGTCGGGGATTTTTGTGGGCAAAGAACCGAGCTCACGTATCAGGGAAGAACGCGTTCCTTTTCCTGTGGGAGTCTCCCCCTGGGAAAGGGGCATCTTCCCGCTGCAAGGTGGGTCTGATTAGCGCTCCCGACAGGGCAGGGGCTGCCCTCAGAGGACCCAGGGCCCTCCGTGAGCTGCCCTGGGGAAACCCTGCAGAAGCCGCCCTGACTTCCTTAGCAGAATCCCATCGGCTGGCGGCTCACGTGACGGGAGCTTCTCTCTCCCACTCCTGGGGGCTGGACCTAGTGCTGCGACCCCATCCCTGGGGATGGGACACCCTGTGCCCCTCCCCAACCGGGGGCCTTTTCAGGGTTAAATAGCACGTGTGGACGACGGAGCGAGAGGCTTGTCTCTGGCGGGCAAACCACAGGGTCTGCCTAGGCTCCCATGGGCATCCCTCTCTCTCCTGGGCTCCTTTCGGCAGCTGCTTGTGGTCTGGAAGTGTGGGGTGGGGGCTGTCTGTCCGGAGGACCGTTCTGGCTTCAGCAGCTCTCCTGTGACCGGCCCCTTGCAGTGGGGTTGGCACCGAGTGACGCTGTGCTTCCGATTCGGGCAAACTGCGCTGGAAGGAAACCGGGACGTTTCTCTGGCTTCTCATGGTGGCACCTCGGACCCGAGTTTCCTGGACCGGGTGGAGATCAATCTTGGGAAGATTGACTCATCAGCTTCAGCAGCTGGCCTGGAATCAGTGGGAGGGACTGTAAACGAAGCAGGGGAATGTGACGCTTCTGCAGCCACCAGCAGCTGGGGGCAGAGTTAGCCTCGTTCTTCTTCCCGATGCTGCTCCCTCCCCAGCCACGCTTCTCGGCGAGAGGCCAGGAGAGGTCACGGCAGGAGCCAGGCGGCCGGCCGGCAGCAGGAGCTGGCAGCTGTGGGCAGATAGTGGCGCCTTTGGTAGGGAGGGACCACACCGTGAGCCTCGGTCACATGCAGGGACGTGGGCCTGGGCCCCAGGAGGACCGTCCTGTCTGACAGGCTCTGCCCCTGGTCGAGTTGTCCCAGACCCCAGAAGCTCACCCAGGGCTGCGATGCCACAGCTGGCCCTTTGCTTTCCCTGACAAAGACAAGGATGCCTGTGTGACTAGAGGAACGTCTCAGAGGCAGGGAGGTGACTGTCACATCCAAAAGCACTTTCCTGCAGGTGGGGGAGTTGTTGCCCCCCCCCACACACACAGGAGAGGAGAGTGCACCTGGCTTCCTTGTGTATCATCCCCGGAAACGCAGTGGGCGCAAAGGCTGCAGGAGCTCCGGGTGCTGTGGCCGCGGGCGGGGAGGGCTGAGTGGGACCTGGGACGGGTCTGAGAAGAGCCGGGGGTCCGAGGGGGGGACTTGCTCCTGCGGGAGGAGCCTGAGCCCCGAGACTCCTGCCCCTTCCCTCTGCAAGTGTGAATGGAGCATGAGGCCAGGGCGCTCGCCGGACCACTCGGGACACGGTTGCCCACGCAGGATGAGGACAGAGAACATGCTTCAGCGTCGGGCAAACAAGGAGACGGAGGCGGTTGCCGGTCATCATCCCCTTGGGCCACGCGTGGCACCCAGAGCCTCTGTCTTGTCCCTTTCGCATGGAAGTTCCTCCTTTGTCTCTGTTGGGGAGGACCCCTGCTCCCTGCTGATGTCATCTTCAGGTCGCTTTGCCACTTTCCTTGGGAGGGAATCCTCCTGGTTGCCCATTTCGTTGTCTCTCTTTAGTAGGTTGAGCTTTCTTCATGTTTTTTTTGAATTTCTGTTCTCGGACCCGTCCTAGTGGGAAGTGTTAACCCCACTCTGTCCTGCTGGGCTCACCCCGTCTTACCTCTTTGAAGTTACTGTCCCGCAGCCCGGCACCCCTGGTGTGGAATCGGGGCTTGTCCCGCTGGCCCTGAGCCCTTGTCCCAGGTGGGTGTGTCGTATACAGGCTGGAGGTCTGCGCAGCGTCACCTCCTGTGTTCTGCTTTCTCTGGGGGCCGGGGGTCGATCTCAGGTCTCCGCCTCGGCAGGCCGTGAGCTTTGCTTGGGTCCTGGCCTCGGGGGAGCTCGCCGAGTCCCACCCGTCCTGCCTTCTCTGCCTGTGTCTGGACTCGGAGTCTGAGTCCTCTCGCACTTCCGTCTCGTTTTTGCGCAGGACAAACCTCTAGAACATTCCTCCCGTGCTTTTCGAGGCTGTTCGCCAGGAGCACCGTGGGGCGCGGGCAGGTGAAACTTGAGGGACTCCAGTCGGCGAGCACCCCTTTGGGGCACAGAAGTTCAGTGCGGGTGGGCACGTCACGTTGAGTGACGCGTGTCTGCTGGGCTCCCCGCCACATGCTTGTCCTGTGTCGTTCTACTTACAGCGTCACCGTGAGGGCCACGGCTGCCCTTTGTAGAGCAGGAGGCCCGGGTCTGGGTTCCGGTCAGGCTCTCGCCTGCCACGCCGCACCACGCCGCCGTGCGCTGGGGGGTCACTCACGGTGCCCTCTCCTTTGTCCTAGGAGGATGAGCAGAAGGACGCCGCCCAGGGAGCGGCTCGCCTGAGACCGCAGCATGCAGGCCTGCCCTCCGGGGCCCAGCAGCTGGACCAGGTAACTCACACTCGCGCCAGGCCACCAGGAGACGGGGCGGCCGGGAGGGAGACGGGCCCTGCGGTCCAGCGATTGGGCTTCTGGGTGGGCACATCCATGTTCATAGCAACACCGTCCCCATAGCTGGACTGTGGAGGCAGCCCAAGTGCCCACCGACGGGCGAAGGACAAACACAGTGAGGTCCGCCCACACCGTGGAAGGGGATGGGACGCCTGCTGCCCAGGGATGAGCCCTGAGGACATGTGATCAGTGACGTCAGCCAGACCCACAGGGAGGAGCGGTGCCCGAGCCCACTGACACGGGACCCTGACACAGCCGTCGTGGGGACAGAGAGCAGACGGTGGGAGCTGGGGCTGCGGCTCAGGGTTTAACGGGGACAGTTTCCGCTGGGACGACGGAAACCTCTGGGGACGATGGTGACAGGTGCATGACAGTGTGAACGTGCTGTGCCACGGAGCTGTGCGCCCACACGTGGGTGGGGTGGTGAATTCTGTGGTGGGCGTGTTTTGCTGCACCTCAGTGAGCTCTGGGTGCATCCTAACTCTCCTCTGGTGCCCTCCCCACAGCCCTGCAGCCCCCGCTCCCTCTGTCCCCTGTCCTTTCCACACCTGCTCTGGGGACAGCCCCACCTGACGCGGATGCACTCATGAGTGCTGTGCGTGCACAACACAGCTGGTGACTTTCTCAGCCCCGTGGCATTTTCCTTTCAACGAGAGCCAAGGGCGGAACGGTGGTGGCGATTCCAGCAGCGGGTGTGGGAGCTGAGTGCGGGGAGGGTCTCTGTCTGGGACCGCTCCTCGTGCGCTTCTGTCTGCTGGGGGTGTGGCCCCACCAGGGAGTGGTGGTCCGACCCGAACATGTGGGAGCTTTCCTTTTCCTTTTTGGGGCAGCAGTTTATGTGGCTTAGTGACAGCATCTTGCCGTCCTTTTTCTACTCTGAGACCTCCTTCAGCAGCAGAGTCTCCTGGCTCAGTTCCCAGGAGAGCATCCCAGAATAGGCACCTCTGTGACAGGGACACGGGTCTGCTCTCTGTCACCGAAAAAGACCTGTGTGGGGCTCTGGCAGGAGCCAGCCAGGGCAGGACGGGCCCCTGGGCAGAGGAGCACGGCCCTGGGAGCTGGTGCTGAGGCCACTGTGTGTATGGGCGTCAGTCCTGTTCCAGGCAGCTCGGCTGCCACCCCTCAGACAGGAAGCCCTTCTCTGGGCTTATCAGCTGCACGGAGCAGGGGCTCAAGGTCAGCGATGGGCAGTACCAGGGTCATGACTGTTCTTGTGTGACCACGTGACCAGAGCCCAGGGCAGAGGCAGCTGCTGGAGCCAGGCTGCACAGCCCGGGGTCAGGGTGGAAGTGGGGTGGGTGTGTGTCGGAAAGAAGTAGCAGATGCCAAGGTCCAGGGGTGGGACTGAGTGTGGCTTGTTGAAGGGACAGAAGGGAGTCCAGGGTGGTCCGAGCATGGTGGGTGGTGGCCACGGGGCAGCGGGTTGCAGCAGAGAGGTTTGTGGGGCTGGGTGCTGTGGAACCCTGCAGGCCACGCTGGGAGTTTAGAGTGTTTCTGGTTTCCGTGGACGCCGCAGGAGGCTTCAGTCGGGAAGCCGCCCGCTCTGGCTGTGTCTCAGGAAGCTCACACCTGCCACTCTGGGACCTGGACATGGGCTGTCGGACCTTGTGCCCACGCCCCACCCCTTGACCCGCAGTCACGAGGTGCAAGGGCTGCCCGCCAGCCTGTGCCCGAGGTGCCAAGGCCTGCACACGCATGCCTCCTCTTCAGCGAGGCCATGGCACTGCCGTCCGGAGCTCGAGGTTGCGTGCCCAAGCTCCTGTCGCCGTGCAAGTGGCATCGACAGATGCACTCTTGCCAGGCAGGCCTTTCTGTGACCTCTCGGGAGCAGCTCCCCGTGACCCTGTTCCCCTCAGGAACCCCGGTGGGCGCCTCCTCTCCACTGCTGCCACCACAGAGATCGCTGGGCCAAGTGACCACTCTGCACACAAAGGGCTGGAGGCAGAGAGGACCCGGGTGGCTGAAAAGCGTGACTTTGTGACAGTCTGTTCTTGAAGCGGGGCTCCTGGGGAGGAGGGGAAGGGATGGGCTGACATGCGGAACGGTGGAAGGACTTGCGGAGCAGACCGGGAGACTTCTCACAGGGGCATGCCCTGCTCTGTTCCTAAGAAGCCACGGGAGAGGCCTCACGCCAGCACGCTGCCCAGGCAGCTCCTGGGAAATGTGTCCCTGGGGCCCGTGTCTGAAGATGGGCAAGGGTCCCGAGTTGTCACAGCAGCGGTCACCCTCATCCACATGCAGCCTTGTTGCCATTGTTGCCCCCTTTTAGGGTGAAAGTTTTAGACAGAAAAAATGGCGTCTGGGACAACTTGGGTAACACTATTGTATTCTTAGGACTTTCAGTTCAAAGGGGCAGAACATAGTTCAAATCAGTGTAAGCAAGCAAAGGGAATCCTCTTGCCCATTTGCCCAGAAAGGGAAACATTAGCTTCAGGCATAGCTTGATCCAGGTGCTGAAAGAATATTATCAGGATCCTGCTTCTTTGCATCTCCTGGTACTACATCAATTTTGTTGGCTCTGTTCTCAGATGGATCGTCCCCTTGTGATGGTAAATGGCACTTCAGCTGCAGCCTTTGTCTTCAACTTTTTGAATCTACTGGGCAAAAGAGACAGTATGTCGCAGGCTCCAAGTGCAGCACACTACTCTGTGCATTCAACTGGGTCACGTGCTCCTCTGCAACAAATCACTAGCCTGAGGGTTGGAATAACACTGATTGGCCAGGCTGGGGCACGCCCCCCCAGTCCTGAGCCAATCACTGTGGTGGTGGGCGGGGGAAAAGGGAGGCAGTGTGCGGATTGCCTGGCCCTTGGTATTCACCCCAGCAGGAGTGGACCCAGCACAAAGGCCAGGACAGGGAAGCCAGAGGGGAGATTCTACAGAACGAAATTAAAGAGGAAGCACCTGCTGGTGGAGACAAATGCCCACAGCTCTTACCGAGTTGTAAACAGCCTCCTTCTCTCCCCATTGCTGCCTGTAGGTGAAAGCGGAGTATGCCCGGCTTAGCCACACGCTCGCCATCGTGACCCGAGAACGCGATTTGGCCGTGAAGGAGAAGTGCCAGCTCCGAGCCAAGCTGGAGAACCTAGAACAGGTCCTAAAGGTAGGCGCCAGGCCCCGGTCCCCTCAGGGTCCGCGGGAGGGAGGTCCTCAGTGGGAAGGGGCTGAGACTCTTCTTTGTCATCAAAGAACAGGGCTCTTGGTGCTGTTTTTATGCTAGAAACTCTGATCAATGACAAAATCCAAGTGTTTCTGGAAGCGATCCCGAAAAGCCAGCCACGCACTCCCGTTTCTTGGGAGGCTGGCCACGGCTGAGCGGGAGATGGTAGGCAGCCGTCCTGAACGCAAGCGGGCGGGCAGCCGTAAGTGGGGACTAGTTGGAGGCATCTGCGCTGGTTTCTCAGACCTCGTAAATGTAATGACCTTTGTCACAAAGTCAGAAAACTGCTTCAGCAGGGCACCGGGGCTGGGAGGCTTCTCATGCATTTCTGGGGGGCTGGGGTTGCTTTCAGTATTTAGTGGGCGGGGTCACCCGCTGCCGATGCCACTGAGTCGAGCTGAATGAGTTCCTCCTCGGCTTTTTTATTTTGGGGGCGTGTGTTCCGTCTCACTGCATGCTCATTGTGGGAACAGGCGTGGACTCCGCAGGCACGACAGAGTGGCTGTGTTGGGTCATGTACCCCAGCTCCTCCATCACTGGGACTCTGGGCATCTCCCGGGCAGGGAGCAGGCCCCCACCCCCCACCCCGTGGCAGCAGTGGGCTCCATCCACAACCTTCAGGGAACGTGCTGGGCTCTGAGGGGAAGCAGAGGGGTCAGTGGGAGGTGGGGGCTGGGTGAGCGGGAGAGGTGGTGACTGCTAAGGGGCACGGGCTTCTTTTGGGGGAGATGAAATGTTCTGGACTCCGTGTGAGGGTCACACAGCCTTGTGAGTGGACAGCAGGCACTGAATCCTATGGTTTCAGAGGGCGAGTTCTATGGTAAGTGAATCACATCTCAATTTAAGAGTAAAGATGCCCTGTTCTCTTGCTGCTGGGCCCAAACGTCCGGGCTTGGCCCACCCACAGGGCTGCAGGCCAGTCTCTCCTCCGGTTTGGAGTGGGCGAAGGGCCTGATATTCTGACTGGCACGGGGGTGCCCACTGCCCTCCCACCCAAAACAAACCTGACCTCAGGTTTTCCCCTCAGCACCAGGCCCCTGCACACGCGGAGACACCCCAGGCTCACACGCGGGTTCTGTCCCTCCCGCTCCGTGCACAGCCCTCTCCTTGGCCGCCTCCTCCCTGTCTAGGGGTGGACATGCGGGGGGTGTCACATGCCCTCGGGGGACAGGCGGAGGAGGAGATGGCGTGGGAGCTGGAGGTGAGCACAAGGACTGTGGGACAGGGACTTCCCGGGTCCAGGTAGCTGCGCTGTGGTCTGGGGGTGGGGAACGGGGCCGATGCACAGAGACCCATGAGGACTCGGCCAGGGTGGCACCGTCCCGTGTCACATTCCGTGAGTTTGATGGACTCGGGAGCTGGGCACTCACTCCCCAAGCACATGGCCACGGGCACAACTGGGGGCTGAGGGCCGATTCTGGTCTTTGCTTGTGAAGCATCGCACCTGTGGCCATGTGGGCGAAACGTGAGGGGCAGGAGTGGCCCAGGGCCCAGGTCAGGAGCAGTGTTCTAGAATGCGCTGGGTGGCTTGCACCAGCGTGGGCGTGGCGGGGCCGGGGGAGGGAGAGGTGTTGGGTTCTGGGTGTATTTTCAAGGCAGAATCAACAGGATTGGCGGACGGACTGGGCGGGGCTCGGTGGGCGGTGGCTTTAGGGCCACACTGGGGGTGCATGTATGAGTTTTGGGGTGAGTAACGGTGCCATTTGCCATGACGGGGACACTCAGGTGGGCAGTTGGGGGCCAGGGATTGCCTGGTGACTGAGTGTGCTGTAACCGAGGGACCCCGGTTCCCTCTCTGGGGACCCCCCTGCTCATCATTGGGGAGGGGGCCCAAACCACTGCAGGGGGCAGGGGACATGGGGGCTCGGAGCAGAGACCCTGCACGGGTGAGTGTGGTGCTCGGAGGTGGTCACTGCACGCTGACTGTGAACACTCGCTGGTCACAGCTGAGTAAATTGTGCCGCCTCACACCTGACTCGCCTTGGAGTCCGTGGAGTGACGGGGGCAGAGGGGCTGTGACGCGCTCTAGTCAGAGCGCTCACTGTGCGCCAGTGGGCGTCGCCGCCGCCCCGGAGTGAGCGGCGTGCACTCGGCATCCGTCTGGACTGGTGATTAGCCCCCCGGTCATGTTCCTGCAGTGGCTTCTTTGTCACCAAGTATCATGGGTGTGATGCTTATCTTCAGGCTGACAGTTCAATTCAGCGAAAGGCGGCTTCTCCCTGAGGGTCTGTGGTCGGCTCTGTGAACCGAGAGCCCGCTGACGCATGGCTCCCTCCAGGGGCCGTGTGTTGGGGCCGCCAAGCGGCTCTGCACTCAGGCAGCCAGGGCGTGAGGCCGTCCCTGCCGACGCTCCGAGGGGGCCCGGTTCCCAGACACTGGGACCTTCCAAAGCCTGCTGTGACTGTCGGGGAGCCCGGCTGAACCCACACCCAAGGACCCACTCCTGCACTTTGCAAACATTTACAAATGAGCATCTAACAGGGGCCAAGCCCTTTCTACAAGCTGGAAAGGAGTGACAGAACCCACGTCCCTGATTCTGCCAGAGCTAATGACACGTTCATGAGCACACCTGGGGGTGACAGTGGGGGACAGGTGTGATTCCACCAGCGTGCTCTGTCATTGTCACTGGTTGGTGAAGAACTCATGGACAGGGGACACTGGGTGGAGACCAGGGTGGAGGGAAGGAGGTAGCCATGAAGAAATCCAGGGAACGAGTGTCCCAGCAAGTGGGCAGCAAGTTCAAAGGCCTCGGACAGAGGGGTGGCCGCCTGCTGCATCTGAGCGGCAGTGGGGGGCCAGAGCTGCAGGAGAGAAAGGAGACCCAGAGGAGCCCAGCTGGCTCAGGTCGAGGCTTACCCCCCCTCACTGCACTGCCTGGCCTCTCAGCCCTTCTCAGGGCTCCGTGGGCCCCAGGGCCTTTGCACCCGCTGGGTCTGGATTGCTTTGTCCTGGCTGCCCTCCAGGAGGCTGTGGGTGCCACGTGGGCAGGTTCCAGGTCTGTTCCTTGCCACTCTGTCCCCAGTGCCCAGGCTGGCATAGAGAGACTATGTGATAAATGTTTGTGGGCTGCAAGGGTGAGTGACAGACATGGGAGGCCACGTGTGCCAGGTAAAACTAGCCCTTCCGAGCTCCGTGCTCATGATGGCCTCAGCTTCGAAAAGGTGGCTGCCCGCCCCCGCACCTGCTCAGTGAGCTCTGCCTGGCCTGCTGCCCTGGTTGATCGGGCCTGACTTCCCTACCACCGAGTGCCACCTGGAGAGAGACTTGGTCTCTTCTGGTGCCGAGGACCAAATCAGGCATGGAGTGACGTGGAGCGAGTGAGGGAGAGGCTGAGTTGTTGCTGGGTGGCCTGTCACTGTGGGCGCAGCCGCCATCATGGACAGAGACCACGCCGCAGGGGGCCTGCAGTCCAGGGGCTTCTGTGAGCACTCGGCTGCGATCACGTGTGTCCTCTGTCTGGCAGAGACGGAGGGTCTCCAAGAGGACGGGACGTGGGAGGGTTCGGGATTCAGCGTCTGCAGGGTGTGGGCTGGTGGCCGTCCGGTGAGGACGCCTGACACTGAGCTCTGCTCAGCTCTCAGCAGGCACTGGGGTCACCTGGCAGTAAACTGGAGCAAACTTTTTCTCCAGCTTCTCAGACTCAGGAGCAAAACAGCCCAACTGCTTCTCACGTGGGCTTCCTGTTGCCTGGTGCTCAGGGCTGTCTGCGTCCGGGAACCCTGCGTGGCCCGAGGCACAGTGTGCAGGCCTCCGCCACCCTGGACGGCCCAGGGGCGGCCTGTCTGTCTCCCGCTCAGGCCCCGTAGGGCGGCCCTGCTTGTCGGGGGGACAGAGATGCCTGTCTTTCTCTGAGGCCAGGGCTCACTCCTCGTGCTGAACCTGAGTGCTCAGCAGCCAGACTCTTCACAGAGGTCTGGGCTGGTCTGGGGCACCCATGGAGCGGGGGTGTGTGGCTGAGAGAGACTTGGGCCCTGGCAGCTGCCCTCCAGCCCACCAGCCCGCCAGCAGTCCCCAGAGAAGTGCTGGACACCTGTGGGCAGGTGGACACTGCCCCCAGATTCGAGTGCGCCCAGGACTGCGACTGTGGCCTGATTTGGAAGTGAGCTCCTGAGGACACACTGGTTCCCTCCCATCCCTGTTGGCTGCTGAGAAGCTCAAACCGTCATGTGTCTGGACTCTCCAGTGAGACCAGCAGCGACAGATTTGAAGACAGAGGTTTGTTTGATTTAACAGCTCTCAACTTGGTGAGGACCACTCTGTCCGACTGTGGCGGCGCCGCCGGAGCAGGTGTACAGCCGGACCCTCGGCAGCCGCCCCTCCAGCTGCCCACCTGCACGCCTCAGCCTGCGGCATGAGGTCCAGAAACCCGACCCAGGGACACAAAAACGCTTCTGACTGGTTAAATTTGACACTTTCTGTTTTGACTCCAAGAAAAAGGAAAAAGTACTCAGAGCAAAATTTTGTTGTCGTGATGAACCCATCAGTCAGTGATGTAGATAATCCGGGCTTCTCTCCCGGTGACAGACGGGCTAATTGTCTGGGATTAGTAAGCACCTCCCACAGGGACCATTAATCTGCCTGTGGCTGTGGCCCCTCCTCTGCGCCTGCTGGCACCCCAGGCCCTGCCTGGACACTCAGCCCCCGCCCGCCCTCCAGCCCGCCTGCGGCCATCCTCACTGCGAACTAACGTTCTGAGGTTATCTTCTGTGTTGTAAGACTCACACTCGAGCAAAGGCTCCAGAAGGCTCCATTTAGGGCTCAGCCCAGGGCCCGGTCTCCAGCAGACCCCGTGGTGGGCCGCTGAGTCCTCGATGGACCCAGACAGCTGACCGTGCCATTGACCTTCAGGCACCAGCGAAGGACAGGAGGTGCCTGGCTGCCCTGGGAGCTCGGTCCATCCGCAGTCCATGGGGAGTCTCTGTCGGGCGCTGAAGCTTACCGGCTGGGACCGTGCGGCATAGCGCTGTCTCTCCGACCTCGCTGCGGAGTGGGCCGCTGTCCCGTGCCCAGGGCAGCCGAGCCCCTGCTCTCAGCCTGCGCCCCGAGCGGCCCCTGGACAGGTGGAGCTGTGAGCGTCACACGGGGGCTCCCTCGATCATCTGGGAAACAGGGGTGCATCTCAGCTTTGAAAGCTCCCAGGGCTGTTTGTCGTGAAAACTCTCGTGAACGAGTCTGACGTCCACGAGGGACAGGCGGTCACGGGGCAGGGAGCCCTGACGAATTCAAACGCCTGCTTTTCTGGTTGGGACCCGGGGCGCTGTGAGCGCTGGGTGTGCGCACCAGGCGTCACGCGGACGCCCGCACAGGGGCGCTTCCCTGTCTGTGCTGTGCGCAGCGCCCCCTGGTGTGGCGTGCAGGGTGTCGGCGGCGAGCCCTGGCCGTGGGTGGTGGAGCGTCGTCCCGCTGCGCCCAGGCGGCGGGTGGGGTCCCGGGCAGGGTACAGGCGGCCGTGAGTACGCAGGAACTGGAAGAGCATCCCTGGCAGCTCCTGAGAAGGGAATGGCTTTTCCCCTAATGTCTCTGCCCAGGAGGGGCTGCGTCTGCGCTGAGGGGCTGACTCAGTTGCTCTGTGTCCCTTCACTCCTGTCACGTCTGAGCTCCCCCGGGAAGTGGCCCTGTGACATTTGCAGGCTACTTCGGTGCTGGCGCTGATGTCGACATCCCACTATAAAAAGCACGGCTTTAAAAAGCAGCCTCCCCGGGCGGCGCCAAGTGGGCAGGCTCCGCAGGGCTGTGGTCCTTGGGGCTGCTCAGATGTGAAGTGTCCCCGTGGGGCCCAGCGTGTGCCCTCGCAGTGGGGAGACGCTTGTAGACGGACGTGGAAGGCGCATAGTAGGAATCTGGGGGGAGTTCGGGTGGGCTGAAAGGCAGAGGTTTCCAGATGCTCTGGGAGAACGGGAATTGCAAAGGCTCGTGGCAGGCGTGAGTGACACGCAGATTGCCTCCCAGGAGAAGTGCAGCATTTGGGGAACAGCCGGAGAGGAACCTGGGCAAACGTGGGGCTCCCGAACACGATCCGAGAATGTTCTATGAAGCAGGGACCCTCGTGTCAAGTGCCCTGAGAGAGGGGGCCCCCGGGCAGAGAAGTGGCTGCTGGCTTGGGCCCCAGGGAGCTGGTTTCGGCTGGGCGGTGGGAGGGATGGGCCCGAAGACACCAGCACGGTGGCTGTGGACGTGAGGGTGCAGAGACGGCCACAAGGAAGCCCTGTGGGCGCCACAGCTGTGAAGGGGCAGTCGGGGTCCGAGTCCCCAGCTCTCGCCCCCACTGGCACCGGCACTGCCGTTGACCTCACACACCATGTTCACAGAGGGCACACATTTTCACAGCTTCCTGCTTTTCTGAGAACGACACGTCGATGCCGTTCCCACCCCGGCCATCTCCCTCCCTCTCCTGAGCCTAAGAAAGAGACCGGCAAGAGTGTCTGTTGCCTTTCGTCCTGCTGTGCCCCATGGCCGGCACAGCCCACCCGGACTGATTTCTGCGTCCGTCACACGTGACGTTTCCAACGGACCCTTGTGGGGAAGACGGTGCCCCCTTCCACCGACGACTCCCTTCCTGGAGCTAAATGAGGAGGACAGGCCAGTCTTCCAGGAGGACGACCGGGGCGGCGCATCATCAGACAGCTGTGCGGCCGTGGGTCCGGATGAGGCTGGCCTGGCCGGGTCCTGCGCCACGGTGAAGGGGCCGTGGAGGGTGGACACAGGCCAGGGGAGGCCGTGGGGAGGCGGAGGGGAGGCGTGCACGGCCCCTGAGGCCCGACACACTGGGGTGGCTTCTGGGCGCAGCTGTGTGGCCTGTGGGGCCCCAGGCAGGTCGCTCGTCCCTGCAGCTGCTCTGGCCGGTGAGCACGGCACCCGCTCAGTGGCGGCCAGGCTGCGTGTGGGCCTGGACTGTGCCTGCCCGGTCGTCACCACCGCGCCGGCACCGCCGTCCTCTTCACTCGAGGTCCTGCTGGTGGAGCCCAGTCACTGACCATGCCGCGCCCCTCGGGTGTAACGGAGGAGCAGCCTCCCGTGGCTCTGAACTGCACGGCTGCACGTCACGTGGCTCCGTGCCACGCGGCTGTGTGACGGGACTCTGTTATGTGACTGTTATGTGACTCTGACATGACTGTGTTGCGACGGCTGTGTGACTCCGTTACGTGGCACTGTCACGTGACTGTTACAGGACTGTGCTATGTCATCGTGCACACGGTTAGTAGGAAGGGGTTTTCTTACATTCAGAGTGAAAGGGTAACACAGGACTGATATGTGACAGGTGTTATTCTAATTCATGTAATATTCAGCACACCTCTAGAAGCAGCTGTTAATCAATAATTCACATTAGCTCTCTCATTAATTGTTCATGAAACATAGGTTGAACTGTACCCGGCCACAAAGGACAGGGCACAGCCAGGGAGCCACCCCCTTGGCTCTGAAAGCAGACCTGGCCGAGGGGCCTCTGGGCCTGTAGCGGCTGAGCGCTCAGTCCCGCGGAGCAGGCTGACGGCCGAGCTGAGCCTCTGGCTCTATCCAGGGCCTCAGGTTTGGATTCGGCAGCCGCTACCAGCCTCGGGACCAGCAGGGAGGCTCCTCGGTGCTTGGCCCCCCTCTGTGGAGCGGCGCTGGTAGCGGCACCCATGCCCCGTGATCAGAGTGAGATGAGAAGTGTATGACTTACACAGCAGTGACCAACTTGGGACAATACCCGCCGCCTGGGACGGAAGTGAGGAACCCCGGCCGGTCCTGGCAGGGCACCAGGGGGAAGGTGCAGAGGAGGGATGGGGCATGTTTCCAAAACGAGGAAGAAGAGCCTTCGCCGTTTCACCTGGGCCCAGGAGCCCGTGGTTCCTGCGTTTACGAGCCAAAGGGAGAGCCGGGTGGAGGCTGTGCCAGTGCCAGAGTGTCCCCGCGGGGCTGCCACCCTCAGGACCAGGGGGCGGGGCGGTCAGAGCGGGGAGGGGTGGCACCATGCACCGAGCACGGCACACCCACCCGACACGCCCTGTCCCCACAGCACATGCGAGAGGCCGCTGAGAGGCGGCAGCAGCTGGAGCTGGAGCATGAGCAGGCCCTGGCTGTCCTCAACGCCAAGCAGCAGGAGATCGACCTTCTGCAGAAGGTAAGCGGGGGTGGGGAGGGTGGGGTGGTGGTACGCGGTGACGCAGGGGGAAGAGGCGGCGGTGCACCTGGGCTGCTCGCCGAGGCTGTTGTCCCAGGCTGGGGGTCCTGGCCCTCGACGCTCCGAGTCCTCTGCCTTCCCTGACCCGACCCGGGTTCCTGTCTGAGCTGCAAACACCAACGTAAAGCTCGGACAGTCCTCGTGGTGGGGCCGTGGCGGGGACTTGGGTTACTGGTGGGGGGGACAGCCTCCCAGCAGTGGTTAGAATGAAAACACACACACTCTGACCTGCGACCTCCGCCCTGGGGTTGCCTGCAGGGAGCCCCAGGCCCTGCTCAGAGCATCTGGGGGTTCCGTGCACTGCGGCTGTGGGCCACAGGGGCAGGGACCTGGACTCTGTCCGGCGTCCATCCCAGGGCACGGCTGTGTCCGTCCTGCCAGCACCCACCTCGGGCCAGCGTGACGTCACTGAGTCACTTCGGTCTCATCCAGTATCTGGGGAGGTCGAGTGCTGTGTGATGAAGGGAGCAAATCCAGTTTCCCGGCAGTGTTTGTGGTGTGACCTCATCGACGGAGAGGGAGGGAGAGAAAAGGATTGGGGGGCTGGGCAGTTTGTGCCCCCGCAGCACTGGTGGCAGCATGGGGGCTGAGAAAAGTCCCCTCGACCTTCAAAAGCCATGGTCCCCCTGTCTCTCCCCCCACATACCTGGGGCGGGCGCTCTCTCTCGGAACCACAGGGCTGGGGGCCCTGAGTGTTGTCCTCGGCTCCATCTCCTCCCACAGCCGGCGCCCCTGCCCCCCTGCCCACCCCGGCCCACGGGCAGCAGCCCTGCACCCCTCGGACAGGCTGCCGGGGTCTCTGGTCTCAAAACAAAGGCCAGGACTGCCCCTGCCTCTAATCATTTACTGAGACCCGGAATGAAGCACAGGTTTCATTAAGTCGGTGCTGACGGGGGCTGTCGCAGCCCTTATTACCCGTCCTCACAAGGTGGCTGGCAACCGAGAAGCAATATTTCCTTAGATGCTATCCAGACAGGGTCCTGCTGGGACACCGGCCACACCACAGTCTTATCTCACCCGCGGCGGCTGCCTGGTACCCGGAAGCCGTGCCCCCAGACCGGTGTGTCTGAGCCAGATAACAGCCTGCGGACGTCCGGTGTCGTCTGGAAGGACAGCGGGCCGGGGTCTCGGCACAGCCTGGGCAGTTGTTTCTCAAGCGTCTGATGCTGAGGCAAGCTCACTGGTGCCAACGCGGAGCTCCAGCCCCAGCCCTGTCCAATCTCCTTGGCTCCTTTGTCCCCAGATTTGCTGTCACCTCTGGTTTGGACGCATGCTGCTTCCTTGGTGGGGGCCCCGGGGCAGGAACTCAGGGAATGTTCATGTTGTGCCTTTGTAACTTCTCCGGGCTCCGGTGTTGCAGGAGGCTGAGCCTTGGGTGGCGTGAGGTGGGGGGTTCCGTCTATTGTTTCCATGAGGGCAGTCCGATGCCGCTCTTGCTGACTGCATCATTCATTCATTCATTCATTCGTTCAGCTAACGTTGGCCTTGGGCTGCTCAGGGGTTGTCCTGGAAACTGGGGACACGGGACAGCGAGACCGGGCCTCTGTTCTCACTGAGTGAGAGAGCGGATGAACCCGTTCAGATCGGGAAGCGCAGTGACGGATGGAGGAGGTTGAGGTCGCAGTGGGTCCCACTGAGTCCCCACAGCATTCGTCATTCACAGAGGCTGGGGCCAGGGGCTCGGCCGGGGGTCCAGCATTCGGTCCGTTCCTCCCACAGCGTGTCCCGGGGCCCGGTGGGGAGGCGGTGGTGGGGACAGTGGAGGCTGCAGTGTGCTCCTCCGCTCTGCACGCAGACTGACTGCCCAGCACCGGGGACACGCATGTCCCCTCCTTCCCATGCCCACCTCCCTCCATCTCCTCCCGTGCTGTCACCGCCCTCCCGGCGTCACTGTGCCACAGCCACACCAACCCTCTCTCTCTGCCCTCCACCCCCCACTGTCCACCTCTTGGGGTCTTTGCCCAGAATGCCTGGTCCCCACATAGTGGTGGAGGCAGCTTCTTTTTATCGCTGGAGTCTCTCCCGGCCTCATCACCTCGTGCAGGGAGGCCCCTTGCCCCAGGGCGGGGCCCGAACTCCCGGCACACAGCCTGGCACCCGGCAGGGACCCCACGAAGAGGGCATGAACGGAGATGCCCAAGAACGCTGAGTGAGTGAGCGAGCGTGCGAGGGAATGGGTGGTGTGCGAGCGATCTGCCAAGCTTCCTCCACCGAAGCGGCCGATGGTCAAACCAGCTGCGTGGTGAGAAGGCCTAAGACTGGTACGCAGGCGCCTGTTGAGGAAAGCAGTGGAGATGCCGGCCCGCCCCCAGCGTAACCGTGGGTGGCAGTCCCCCCGCAGACGAGGCCCCTGAGACTCGGTCACGTGCCAGGGAGTTGACGGACAGACCGCAGCTGCCCTGGGCCCTCCGGCTCCCTGGTTTTCGGGGCAGGCGCGTCCTCGCCTTGTCCCGAGCAGCAGTCCTCACTACCGGGGCCCTGGGAGTCCCCACACTTAGGACTCGCCTGCAGGGCTGCCCGGCCTCGCTGGGGGCAGGGCACCCCCTCCTGGGCAAGGCTTGCCTGGCACATAAGGCTGCTTCTGAAACGGGCCGTCCACGGTCCACGCTCTGCCTGCATTCCACTGGCTGCCCTCCGGTGTCTGGGGTCAGCTGTCCTGTGTAGGTGGCAGGGGCGCCCCCTGGCAGAGTGGGGTGTGTCCACCAGCCTCCTCAGCTCTGCGGAGCGTGGGGGCCAGATGCGAAGCTCTCACAGCCCCCCCCCCTGCTGCCACACTGCTTCACGTGGAGCTGTATTTTCAGCTCTCACGTAACCATCGCCTGCTCCCTCCTAACCAGCGTCCACCTTCCCAGCCCAGTCCCCACGGTGCTTGGAGGGGGCTCGCTGCTCCGAGTGAGGGCGTCCATCACTCCCGTGCGTCTCTGCCGCCCCTGAAGCCACCGGTGTGCTGCCACCCCCGACACTTGCTCCCCAGGTGGCCCCCCTTTCTTCTCACAGCCAGATCCTGAGCCTCCCTGTGTCCTGGTCCCTCCTGAGGCCACTGTGCTCGGTAGGAAACTGTGTCCCCATGAAGGTCACAGCTTCCCCCCAAACTGGCCCCTGCCAGGAGCCTTGCTTAAGCTGTCGTTTAGATTTTGCAAGAATTCAGTGCTGCCAATCTGAGCGGTTAATTTTAGCCACCCCTTCCGATTGCCCCTCGGCCCAGCTTGCGAGGAGCCCGTGGGCCCCATCTCCTGATTTTCCGTCGGAGCCGGAAGCCAAGTTGCTCCTGCCAACTTGGCTGAGTTTTAACAGCCGCTCTGCCGCTTTTTGCTGCTTTTCTTCATCCTGCCACTTGACAAACGTCTTCAACTCAACTGGCTCCGTGCGGGTGTTATTTGTATAATCCCTGTGTGCTCTCTGCTGGTTTGCCCCCCCCCCCCCCCGTTTTGTTGCGTTTTGCCGCTTTTGCTTTGAAAGGAACAATTTTAAGCGTTTGGAGACTGAGCTGGATTGAAGAATGGTGTGATTAAACGCCTGCGTTCTATTCACTTTCCCAGCTTTTAAAAGCCTCATTTGAAAAATGTGAGAATGGAATAATGTATGTGAATGAGCGCTGCAGAAATCTTAGTGAGGCTGCTTCTCACTCATCTCTCGGTGGGGGGGGGCACCGGGGCGGGGGGGGGGGAGGCCGGCGCTCCCTCCTTCTGACCCACGGAAGTTTGCGAGTGAAAGGCAGACGCTGTTCTGAGAACACTCAAGGGCTTACTTAGGGTGTCGAATCCCTGTCTCCTAGAGAAAGTGCCCCCTTGGAACTGAGAATTCTTTTAGTTTTCATTTTTAAGACTTTATTTATTTTTGAAAGAGAGGGAGGGAAATATCCATGGCTGCCCTCTCACGCCCCCAGCTGGGCACCTGGCCCACAACCCAGGCCTGTGTCCTGACTGATAACCACACTGGCGACCTTTCACTTTGCAGGATGACACCCACCCAACCGAGCCTCGCTGATCAGGGCTCTTTTTAAAATTAAAATGGGGTGACGTGGGTCAATAACATTATTGAAGTTTCAGTGTCCAGTTGCATGACACACCGTCTGTATATCACACCGTCCGTGCCACCGCCCTAGGTCTAGTCCCCTTCCGTCACCGTGCATTTGACCCCTTCACCTTCTTCATCCTCCCCAACCCCCGTCGTCCCCTGTGGTGGCCACCACACTGCTGTCCGTGTCTGTGCGTCTGTTTGTTTGTCCTGTGGGTTTGTTTGCTGCTCTCAGTTTCACAGCCCAGGTAGGAGTGACATCACTCAGTTCGTGTCCTTTTCCACCTGACTTGTCCCGCCCAGCACGATGCTCTCCAGACCCACCCGTGTGGGGTCTCTTTGCTAGAAAGAGGGGTGACTGGGTCCTATGGTGTCTCTACAGAACTGAGAATTCTAAGTGTAAATCTCAATTTAACACATAAATGGCTTTGTTTTCGGTTCCCGTGTGGAGGACCCTCGTGGTGGCAATGTGGCTGCAGCTGCACCAAACTCCCCTTCACTCCGGCGTAAGTCCAGTAGGCAAGGCGCTTCCATCTACCACAGAATTCCCAGGCAAAGTAAACTAGAACTGGAGTCTAAGCTGCTCTCATGTGCTCAGGCAAGTGAGGGCTGGATCCCCGGCCACGTCGGGGGCTCTTCCCAGGAGAAGAGGGCGCCAATGCCTGTCAGGCAAACCCAGCAGGCGCTTACTATCCTCACAACGCCAGGACCCACGGTCCTCGGGGACAAGGAATAATGATGCCGCATTTTGGTTTCGTGTGAATTTGCCGTCGGGCCCAGGCAGCAGCCAGCCAACCTGAGAACGAACTTCAGTGAAACCTGTAGAATTTTCTTTTCTGTGGAGCAGATGGTTTTGCTCCCAGTACTTTGAAGAGGGGGGTGCCCTGCTGCTGCGGTTGAGCCGCCGACAGCTCGTTGGAGGCTCAGGGCGCCCCCACAACCTCCCCTCCTGGTCTCTGTGGTCCTGCCTGGCCTGCAGCCATGGGGGGGTCAGATCCACATGCCTGTGTTGTTTCGAACAGTGAAGGACACCTGGGGAAATGACGGGGCTCCCTGAGGCTTCGGGAGGAACCATCCCGCTGTTCCGGGTGTGGCCACCCTGCGTGTGGCGTGTCTCAGGAGCAGGCCCAGGGCCTGCCACGCGCACACCTGTCCGAGTCCCGTCAGCCCGTTCCTGCCGTCGGATCAGGGCGCACTTCCCGGTTTCACAGAGGCAGACCCAGCCGAAGCCCAGTCCATCTTGCCCCAAAAGGGAAGGAGAATAAGAACTGACCCAGGCTCTTGAAACTCAGGGCTTAGGACGGCAATAAGAGTCGATGACTCTCTCCCTGATAATCTAGACATTAATCCCATTCTTTTCATTTTTTCCTCCTTTAAATGTGCACTTTTCTCTTTTTGTCATCAAAAAGGCTCAGGTTGAAGCTAAGAAGCAGCATGAAGGTGCTGTGCAGCTGTTAGAGGTAAGCAGACGTGACCCACGGGCTCCTTCTCTGGGGCGGCTGAGGTCAGGTCTGGGGTGGCCCGGGCCCAGCGACATAATTGCTCACGTGCCCACAGGGCACCGGTCACCGGTGCTGTGCACACATCCTCCTGCCTCGTCAGCACAAGCAGCCTGTGCGACAGGTGCCTTCACGATTCCGTGTCCATGGGAGGAAATGAGGCTCAGAGAAGTTAAGCAATTTTCCCTCAGCCACACAGCCAGCATCAGGGCTGGGGGTCTCAGATGTGGTCTTCTCGCTTCTGTTGGCTCCTCTCAAGTGGGAAGCAGGGAGGATGGTCCTTGCATGGGAAGGACTTTTGGTTTCTATGCAGAGGCCCCTCATGGTGGCAAGATGGCTGCAGCTGCTCCAAACTCTCCTCTACTGAGGCTCAAGGCCAGCAGGCCAGGGAGCCCACTTCCCCAAGGAGAAAGGGTGGTAGGCTGTTCCTGTGGGCGTCCTGCTGTCCAGCAAGCTGTGTGGAGCAGGTCTTCAGGGGACGGTGCTGATGCTGAGGGAGCATCTGGCAGTGGGCATCAGGGAGGCACCGGCAGCATTAGAGAGAGGGCAGCCCAGGGCACCCAAGCAGCAGAGGCCCTTGGAAGCACAGCTGCACCGCTGTCCTCGGAGAGCAAGGCGAGTGGCCCTGCTCTGCTGCCCAGGTGGCAGGGGCCAGGCAGGGAAGGGCACTGAGCCGACCAGCGTGGGTGTGGGTGCTGTGCCAGGAGCTCCTGTCCCCTGTCCCTGGTCCTGGCCCAACGCCAGCCTCCCAGGGGCAGGAGGACGAGTGAATCCGGACGGAGCCCCTGGGGTCACCCAGAGGCCTTTGCCCGCTGCATCCTTGGGCCTCCCGCCCGTGGAGACGGAGCCTGCACAGTGCAGACCCCCAGTCACGGGCACAGCTACAGAGCGGGCCCCTCCCGGCTCCCTCCGCCAGGCACGGCCCTCTCGGAGGTGACCTTGTCCTGTCCCCGGGGTGGAGCAGCCACTTAAAACGGAACCCGTGCCTCTCTCGCGGGGCCCCGCAGGGCCTGTCTCCTCAGGAGCAGGTTCCGTGGCTATCGTCATCGACGTGACATTGATATCTTGAAAGCATCCATTAGCTAATGAGTGTCTGAGGGGTGAGTGTGACGGATGGTGGGGGGAGATCCGGCCCTGCAGACCGCCCCCGGCCCCTCTCCCCGAGAAATCACCCGGCTGCTCCGGGACTGCCCCCCACTCTTCAATTTGCATGGGCTTCTGGCTGCAGGCGTGGCTGCTCTTCTCCAGGCGGCCGAAGCCCGTCCAGGTGATGGCCTGTGCTGTTCTGACCGCTCGCTGAGCTGCCACGGTGACAGCCCTGCTGCGGTCCACGTCCCCGGGGCTGGTGGCACTGCTGGCCTGCCTGACGTGGGGTGACGGCTGTGTTGCGCTTTGGTTTGGACAATGACAAGCAATTTAATGTGCTGAGAATCGTACCTTCTCCTACTCACATGTCTTTCTGTGATTGTGTCTTGTTGCTTCGCCTAGAACACCTTGGAGAGCATGCAGGTACTTCAGGGACGTGTGTCCCCACCCCCGTGTACTTGGTGCCGCTTCCCCACGCATGGAGCAGCTCCCTGGGCCCGCTCAACCCCTCTTCTTCCCAAACCACAGCTCCCCGATGCAGCAGAGGGTGTGGTTGGGGGCAGAGAAGCCGCCTGCAAAGCCCTCTGGGGGGCCAGGCTTTCGTCTGGGCCCTGAGACGCTCGGTCTGGCCCCCGGCCGGTTGAGCAGGCCCAGCGAGCTGGGGTTCCCATGTTCTGCCCAGGCTGTAACTTTCAGGCTGGGGAACGAACAGCTCGGTGAATTCAGATGACCCCAGGGAGGGGATGCAGGGAGCGTGGGCCAGCCGCAGGCTGGAGGGCCAGCGGCTGCGAGCCCAGACTCGGGGCGCGGGTCATCGGAATTCAGACCCGGCGCTTGAACGTTGCACCTGCGTGCCGTGTCTGCGTGGGGGTGTGTCTGTGTGGACGGCAGGTGGTGTGGGGGCCTGGGCTGTGCTTCGCCCCTCGGCTGCAGCACCCAGTGTCGCCCCTGACGTGCCTGACTCCAGGCAGCGGCCGGGGCATGAGGTCGGGGCAGCGGTCTGCAGCCGTGGCGCTGCCAGCTCTGACCCGCAGGCCTTGTGTGCTGTGAGGCAGGCGTGATGCTCAAGCGCGACAGAGTTTTGGCTGCCTTGTGAATCCGAGACAAGAACAGATGAAGGTTTATGCTTTATCGGCATCTCCCACCCTGGTTCCCTCAGGAATTCTCTCTTCTGGGGTCCGGACGGTGGTCTCTGCCCCCGCCCAGGAATGGCCTTCACGGCTCGATCCCCCGAGTCCCTGCCGGGAGGGGCGGGGCAGGGACCCTGCGCCTGTGCCCGTACTGGGGAGTCCAGCCGGCCCAGGACGAACCCGACTCCATCTTCGTCCCCCAAGGCCTCCCCCTCTCTGCCTCTGTTGGCGCTGAGGGCAGCACAGGGGCTCCGGGTCCCATTTAGAACGAGGCTTATCTGCCCCTGACACCGTGTGAAAATTCGCCCCATACAGAGACACACCGACTCTGATGGCCTGGGCCTGCCAGCGTGGCAGTCAGTCACTGGGCTTCGGCCACACGTTTTAACGGAGGCACGAATCGTAGGAAGCAAGGCAGACCTGCGTCCCCTTGGTGCTGGGTCCCTGTGGACTGCAGAGGGCAAAGCACTAACCCCCAGGCCTCTTCACTCCCAGGTTCCGCCCAGGGGGCCTCTGTCCTCTTTCAGGGTCAAGAGACCCTGGTTCTGCAAAGGCCCCTGGGCTCAGAGCCTGGTCGGATGACCTCACGGGGTTTTCTCTGTATGTTGTCATTGGGGGCAGGAGCCAGGGCAGAGATGGGCACTTAAGAGGCCGTGAAAGGTGCTCCTTAATTGGGGATCACCCTGAAAAGATGTGAGGGGCCTCCATGTCCCTGGCTGATGACAAAAGCAGGGAGCGCTGATGTGTCTGCGTGGACTGCAACTGCCATTCCACTTTGCTGGCAGCGGGCACCCAGGCAGCCGGAACGTGACGGATCTGGGGGGCCTGAGGTCGGTGCCCACTGTGTGCCCCGGGGCACTGGGAGGTCCTCTGCAGATGAGGGAACCGGGCCCCCCATGAGGGACCCGAGGCCAAGGCCACGCACCCTGGAAGTGGCAGGACAGACCCAGGTCTCAGCATTGCCCCCAGTGCCTCTGTGCAACATGTGCAGACATGCATGAAGCATGTGACGCCCAGGGGCATCTCTGCGTGTGCTCTGCGGCTCAGCGCTGTGCGGGGCATCTGCCCCCAGCTCCCACAGGCACCCAGGAGTCCTCTGGACCAGCGTCTGGGCACGGGGACCCAAGTGCCAGCCCCGAGGTCACTCCAGGGCGGGAGAGGCGAGACAGGCGGGCTGACGGGCAGTTCGAGTGCCTTTAACTCCCCCGCCAGCGCCCGCATCTCCGTCCATCGCACTTAGGAAAATGCTGATCATCTCACTATTTTTCCTGATGTCACCCCTGCCAGTGAGTCCCCCTGGGGCAGCAGTGGAGCCACAGGTGGCAGATGTCGGGGGGCAGCTGCCTCGGGCTCCTCCACGGCCGTCTGGGCCCCGCGGCTGCACTGGGGGCTTGGCGACTGTCCCCGTCTGGGGTCAGAGCCACCCCCCCCAGGCACCGGTGCCCTCCCCGCAGGCCCACCTGCACCTTCCCCAGTGGGCACAGCGGCCCACTGAGCCCCCTCGGCTTTCTGAAAGAGGATCCCGCTGATGGTTTTAAAGGAATCAAAGAAATTAACTTTAGGTTTGTAAATAGTCCTCTATTCTGGACTAAGGCGCTAAAAGCCTAGTGCTGGTGGAGGGCGTGTCCGCTGGTCCTTCGTCCGAGGGTCTGTCACCACCGTCTTGCCGCTCCTCTGTCCCCGCACGTGCGCCGGTGTTGAGCCCGACGTGTGTGGGCACCGGCCTGGGACCACGTTCTCTGCCCAGTGCTGAGGACAGAGTGGGAGAGAGGCCGGCAAAAATGCCCGCCTCGTCGGGGAGACCGGGCAAAATGAGCAACGCAGCAGCCCGGTCACGGCATGAGGAGCGTCGGCAGGGCAGGGCCCCGTGAGGACACACAAGGACTCCAAGCCTGCCCGGCAGAGTCCCCTCGTCACGGCAGAGTCCCCCTCGTCACGGCAGAGTCCCCTCGTCACCGACCCAGCAGACATTCACCGAGCACCTCCTGTGGGCCGACTCTGCAGAGCACTGAGGACACACCGGGGAGCCAGCCCGCGGAGGCTTGGCGCTCACCATCTAGCCAAGGAGCAGGCGACAAACCATCAGGGAGCTAGTAATTGGGGACCACGAGCGCCACACAGAGACTGTCGGGGTGAGGAGGAAGAGCTGCCCCTCCATGGTGGGTGCCCACCGGGCACAGGCAAGCCTCACGGCTGCACCAGCACAGGGGGTGCGGCATCCGGAGAGGCACACGGAGGGGCGGATGCCGCCGGGGCCGGAGCAGGGGCAGGAACTGGAGAAAACAGGAGGGAGCTGCGGGGCAGGTGACCCCTTGTCTGACCCATGTCCCCGAGGGAGACGCCCAGGCCGGGCTCTCCTGAGATGTCTCCAGGTGTCTGCAAGTGGCAGCCACGGTGCCGGAGGAACCCTGCCGACAGTGTCCCTTATTGCTCATGAGCCGTTCTCTGGGGCGCTGCAGGAGCGGGGCGGGCGCCCCTGGGGGGAAGGCGGGCTGGGGGCTGAGTACTGACCACGCTCACCCCAGGTCCGGGCTGTGCCGCCAGCTCTCACTGCGAGTTTCATGCCCCGTGTGCCTGGCCCTGTGCAGAGCCCAGGGCCATCATGCTGGGCTGGGACCCGAGTGTCTGCAGGATCTGGTGGCACCACGGTTCCCGTGTTCGCCCTGGACAGGCACGTGGCCAGCGGCCAGCCTGAGTGGGGAGCGCGGTTTCGTCAGACGCTGTTCCTGGGGGTGGTGGGGGCAGCCTGTGCCCCACACAGGCCCGCCCGGCGCAGACGCACGCACACACGTGCACACCCCCCCCCCCGCTGACCCCGGTGCCTCTCTCAGTGCAAGGTGCGGGAGCTGGAGGACACGTGCCGGGCGCAGAGTGAGCAGTTCAGCCTGCTGTCGCGGGACCTGCAGAGGCTCCGGCAGCACGCCGGCAGGACCGACCTGCTGGGCGGCTCCCTGGCCTCCCTGGACGTCCCCTCGTCCCCCGGCAAGCCCTTCCCGCAGTTCATGAACGGCCTGGCCCCCTCCATCAGGTCAGGTGAGTGCCCAAAGCCCCGCCCTCCCAGGCCGGGGTGCGCAGGGTGCCTGGCCATCCCCACCAGGGCTGTGCCTGCTGGGCCAGGGGGCGAGTGGGCCAGGACACTTGGCTCTTAACAGGTGTCGGCAAATACGCCCCCGGCAGCGTGACCTCGGTGCTGTTCGGAGCCCCACGTGCAGCCACACACCTGGGAGTCCAGGGTGGGACTTGAACCGGGGGTTGTGGGCAGGGCCCACGCTGTCACTCCTGCGTGGACAGAATGGCCCTGGGACGCCTCACTGGCCGGGACGAGCAGTGTGTCGGGGACAGTGCCCCTCCACTGCCCGGGCAGAAGAGCCCCGCCCTCGTTCCCGGCTGGCTTCGGGTTCGGGCCTCGGCCTGTCCAGTGAGGAGCCTCACGCTCGCCCTCGCGGCTGTGGGCGCTGGGGCCGCGGCAGGGAGCAGCTCGCAGCCCCGCAGGGCACACGCGTCTCGTCAGCCGCCACTGCGGCTGCAGACCAGCTCTGGGCCGTTCTCCGAACCTGCTGCCGCCGGGTTCTGGGACCACTTGGTGCTCACCGACTAGGACCCAGGCAGTCATTGCTTCAGTGAGGCAGTCCCATGAGGTGACAGCCACCGAGAGAGACGGGGGAGAGGCCCTGGGTGGCCGAGACCCAACTGTCACGGGACAGGGCTGGCCAGCCCGGTCTCAGAGCTGCTGGCCCTGCCCGTCACTGGGGTGGGGATTGTGGCCACCGGGCCCCATGAGAACAGGACGGCCCTCGTTTCTAGTCAAGGTGGTGTCAGCCCCAAGCCCGGCCCATTGGCCGCTTTGTGACTCATTGGGACCCCTCAGGCCCTGAGTGACAGCAGAGCCCACCCGTGCTGGTGGGAGCCAAGTGGAGCCTGTCACCGAGTGTGGGTGGCGGGCCACAGGTGCAGCCTTGAGTGCTGTGGGTGCAGCTCAGCGGACAAGGGGCTGCCCCGGTGCTGACGGGGCCGCGGCTCACGGGCCTTGCGTCCTCTCAGCTGTGGGCCAGGGAAGGGGGAAGCCCTTCGCCCGCGAGGCCCACTAGGTTCTGTCCGACGGGACCGTTCTGCCTCACGTGCACACCCCCCACCACCGAGCCATGGCCGCACGGGGGGACCCCGCCTGGCAGACGGCCCACGCGGGGTTGGTCGGGCAGGCTGAGTAGGGGCGGGCGGCCCCGAGCCGAAGCCAGAGATGGGGTGGGGGCAAGCGGTCTGTCATCTCGTTCCTTCCACGTCCCCTTGTCTCCACGGGCGGGGCCAGGTCAGGAGAGCGCCTTTGGAAGCCACCCGGTGATCGGGGACTACATCCGGCCCCTGCCGCTCCCCGGGGACAAGCCGGAGCCGCTGTCTGTCAGGCCCACCTTTCTGTCAAGATCGGGAAGCCCAAGATGCAGATTTGAGTCCGAGGTGAGTCTGTCTCGGGAGGGGCCCACACAGCCCCGCCCCGCGTGGGGGCAGCGGCGGCTCCCAGGACCCCCGGCACCCGAGGCTGCGGAGCCCTGGGGGCCTGAGGGGACGTCCAGTGTGTCTCCCCCTCGGACGTGAGACCGCAGCCTCGTGACCGCGTGTCATCTGTGCCTTTGACAGATGGACAATGAGCGGAACGCCAACCCCTCCAGGCAGAGATACTTGGGGAAGGTGCACCTGTGTGTCGCCCGCTACAGGTGAGGCCACGCCCCTCCGCCCCGCCAGCCTCTGTGGGTGCAGGGCCTGGGGGCAGGTGAGGTTCGGGTGTGGGACCTGCCATGAGCTGCCACCGTCCCTTCTCAGGCCCCGAGTGCAGGCTGGGCAAGGCTTCTATGGACGTGGCCGTGAGGGACAGGGAGGCGTGGCGTGGTCACACCTGCACAGGACAGGGGTCGGGAGGCCCCACCCCACCACTCAGTGAGCTCGTGACTTCGGACAAGCCCACTCTCCTCACTGGGCTGTTTACACTGGGGAGTAAGGACGGCTGCTGGGCTCCTCTCGCTGGGATTCACTGGTGACCGAGCACCAGGAATATCATGGTGTTTGCTCATTGAGACCTTTTCTGTTGTTTCAAATTAATTAACCTTTTAATTAGAAAACCCAAAATGTGTGTAACGTGTTTCATCTGCAAGCTGGACGTGACTTCCAGAGATGGCGACTCCAGTGTTTCGAGGACTCGAGGACGCGGGCACTTTTGTTCTCCTGGTGGGTGGGTGTTCTCCTGGTGGGTGGGCAGAGTGCCGTGGGCACCCACGTGTCAGGACACTTTGGAGGGGCGTCCCCAAGGCCTCAGAAACGTGCACGGCTGGCCAAGTGAACACACTTCCGAGGGGTTTGTCGGAAGAAAGCGTGCAAAGAGGTCTGTAGGGACATCGGTCAATACTGATTAGAGTAGCCCAAAGTCAGAAGCAACATCAACGCCTAGTGTTAGGAAGTCAAAGCATGGGACTCTATCCAGTGGAATACCATACACCCATTAAAAAGGTTATGCGGTGGGAAAAACAAGCAGATTATAAAGTAGTGTGTGGAACGTGATTATGCCTTTGCCGAATAGTGTATTTGGAAAGATGCAGGGTTGACCATCTTCCTCTTTGCTTACGAATTTGGAAATCTATAGCTATGGTAGAAGTGACAGGTGTGAGCAGAAATACCAGAATTATAAATGTGTCACCTGATGCGAAGATCCCAGGTGTGCAGCTCGGCTTCAGAACTCTGTTTTCAGTTGGCGGGAGGGAGCCGGCGATGGCCGGAGCCTCGGTGCACAGAGAGTGGACTCGGTGAGGAGGCGAGTGCGAGTCGGCAGGGCCGGGGCTGCGATCAGCCTCCGTCAGTGCGTCCCTGAAAGAGTTTCGTTTCTCCTGCAGTTACAACCCCTTCGACGGCCCAAATGAGAACCCAGAGGCTGAGCTGCCGCTCACGGCGGGGAAATACCTCTACGTCTACGGAGACATGGACGAGGACGGCTTCTATGAAGGTCTGTTAAGAGCGTGGCCGTCGGCTGGTGTGCGGGGCCGGCCCCCGGGCCAGGCGGGTCTGTCCAGGGCCTGATGAGCAGGCCAGGTCCCCACATGACCCCTGCTGGCCCCAGGCTCTGCTCTGAGCCTCCCACTCCCCAGAGTCACCAGGTCGCCCTCTGGCGAATGGTTTTCCGGGCTATAGAGTGGCCATAGTGACAGTTGCCACCTGGGGAGGCCGAGGGGACGATGAAGCCTAGGCCTGGTCAGAGCAGGGCCTGGGCACGGGACTCGCTCAGCAATGTCAGTCGTCACTCCTGCCATCGTCATCTGCAGTCAGCGAGGCCGCATTCTCAGAGCGCCCCCAGGCACACACTGACCCAGCCAGGTGCACCCCCACACCCCCCGGCCCCGCCGCAGGGTCCACAGCAGAGAGCACGCGCTCACCCACTCGGGTGGAACCCGGAGCTGATTCAGCGGTCGCTGTGGCTTCCCTTGGGCGGGACGGCAGCGCCGAGCACTTCCCAGCCTCCAGGGTCCCCTGGCATCCCACCCAGCAAACCCCCTCTGCAACTCAGACACGGGGGGAATGGTCCGTTCCCGGGGTGCCGGCAGGTTCCCAGTACTTCCCAGTCCCCGAGCCTCTGCTCCGGCAGGCCCTGGAGGCTCTCGGAAGGAGAGTGCGGAAGTGAGACCGTTGCTTGAAAAGAAAGAGCCCCCCCACCCCGTTGACCACCCACAGCCACCAGTCTTCCTGAGGGGAGCCACTCGGGTGGCTTTGGTCACAAACAGACACCCTGGGAACCTCACAGTGTCGCACATGGCACTTTGCAGGGCAGGCCCCTCCCCCCGCCGTCCTGTCTGTGTGGTCCCCACACGAACACCGAGAGCCGGTGCCCATGGTGCGGCCTCCACACCCGAGGTCTGCATGTGGTATTGGCCACCGCTGACCGAGGGCCGGGGGCCCCCGTGCCGCCCAGGGGGTGGTGGCGGCAGAGTAGGGGTCCGTGTGCAGACACAGGCAGAGGGCGTGGAGGCGTCAGGTGCCATGGAGACACCAGACGGATGGTGGGGCGCTGGGCCGGGGGCACCGTGGGCATCGGGAGTGGGCCCCGGTCCCGAGGGGTGGTGTCTGAGTGGGTTCCTGGCAGGGCCCCGCGTGCTGGATGGGCGGTCACTCTGCCCTGCATCCGGCAGGTGAGCTCCCGGACGGGCAGCGGGGTCTGGTGCCCTCCAACTTCGTGGACTTTGTCCAGGACAGCGAGTCCCGATTAAGTGCCCTGGGGACCGAGCTGGGTCAGAACTTCATCAACCACAGCGGCCTGGGCCTGGACGGGGAGAACATCCTGGACCTGCACTCGCCCACCCAGCTGGACTCGGGCGTCACCGACAACGGCGTGGGGATGCTGGACGTGAGCGTCGATGACGTCGGAGAAGACATCGTGCCTTACCCTAGGAAAATCACCCTCATCAAACAACTCGCCAGAAGTGTCATTGTGGGCTGGGAGCCCCCGGCCGTGCCGCCGGGCTGGGGCGCCGTGGGCGGCTACACCGTGCTGGTGGACCAGGAGCCGCGCCTGAGCCTGCCGCTCGCGGGCAGAACTAAGGCCCTGATCGAGAAGCTGAACGTGGCGGCCTGCACCCACCGCGTGTCCGTGCAGTGCGTGACGAGCCGGGGCAGCTCGGACCAGCTGCGCTGCACGCTGCTCGTGGGCAAGGACGTGGTGGTGGCCCCCTCCCAGCTGAGGGTGGACAGCGTCACCCAGGTCTCCGCCCGGCTCTCCTGGCTGCCCACCAACAGCAACTACAGCCACGTCATCTTCCTCAACGAGGAGGAGCTGGACGTGGTCCAGGCGGCCAGGTACCAGTACCAGTTCCTCAGCCTCAGGCCCGACACGGCCTACAAGGTCAAGGTCCTGGCCAGGCCCCACCAGATGCCGTGGCAGCTCCCCCTGGAGCAGAGGGAGAAGAAGGAGGCCTTCGTGGAGTTCTCCACGCTGCCCGCAGGTGAGCCCGTCCCCCCGGGGCCCCCCGGGGTGAGAGCAGCGTCGTCAGCCGTGCAGGACTTGGGGTCGGGGTGCGGAGGGGCGCAGGAGGGGAAAGCTGCCTGTGGCCAACGTCACCTGTGAAGCACAGGGTGCGTGTGTGTGCGTGTGTGCAAGACAGCACAGAACGTGGACTGTGTTTAGGGCCTTGGTGTTGGCAATGTTTCTCTTCCCCCCTCGCCCGTCCCAGGGGCTCGTCCTGTGAAAGACGGGCAGAGCGAGACCTTCCCGGGACACAGCCGGGCCCCGCCCCTCCCGGCCCTGCCGCTGGGTGGCACTGGCCCCAGCACCTGCACTCCTCCTCTTGACGGGCCTCCTGCTGTAAACCACACACCTGGACGCGTTTGTGCACGAGGTGTGAGGCCTCTGGAGACGCAGTTCAGGTCCTGGGCACGTCCACTGAGTGACCCTGTCTCCTCTGCTCGTCCTGGGCTGTAGCTGGAGGAGGGTTGACTCCCACCCCCCACACTCCAGAGAATTGTGGATGGCGGTACGGACGGGCCTGCGGGGTCCACTCGCTGTCCGGTTTATCCCAGTCACTAGTCTGTCCTGTGACCCCTGGTCCCCGCGGGGAGCCTGAGCTCTGGGAGGAGCCGCCGTCTGGGAGCAGAGCAGGGGTCTCTGCAGGGACACTGGAGGTGTGAGCTCTGTCCTCAGGGCCTTCCTCCGTCCCCTCCGCCACCTGGGCCCCACCTCGTTCCTCAGGAGTTTTGCTGACACTTCAGTATCAACTTAGCCTGAAGTCGCCCACCAAACCCAAGGCCGGATTTCCAAGGCGCAGCGGCCCTACGCCCCATCTCTCCTTGTGCCCTGGGGTCCTAGGCGCCCCCACACAGCGGGGGTCTGACGCACCGGGCTACAGGGCTGCGCGCGGGCAGCAGACAGGACTCTGGGCAGGAGGCATCCCGTGGAGACTGGTTAGGAATGGTCTGTTCGTTCCTGTTCCATGACGGCTTCATTCCATGGGTAGTGACCGTGACTGTGGGGTCAGGAGGCCCCTCTCACCATCGGTGCTCGTGCGGAGTCCTGTGCTCAGCTCTGGGGACAGAAATGAGACATGCACACAGGGCTGCGTGGGCACAGAGGACGGCTGTGGCACGGCCACGGGCAGTTGGGGAAGGCTGCCTGCAGAGGAGGGGCCGGGGTCAGGGACAGGGTCGGGGACAGGGTCGGGGATGGGGCGTGGCGTGTCCCACGGATCAGCTCCCAGGTATCGAGCATCTTGGGCCATCCGAGCTGCTGGGACAAAATTGCCCAAACCTGGTGAAAGGACGCATGTTTCCCTCTCACAGCTGTGGAGACTGCAAGTCCAAGGTCAAGGTGCCAGCAGACTCAGTGTCTGGGGGTCCCCTTTGAGCCCACAGGCTGAAAGTCTTGCAGAGCCGACACCCAGGGTCCAGGGCTGCCAGTGAAGCCCCTGTCTCCCTCCACCTTCCCCGAGGTCACCGCCTGGGGGACACCCAGTCCAGGCTTACGTCGCTTTGAGGGAGAGACAGAGGGAGGAGGGGCATGTGAGCCCTGCCCAACGCTGGGGTCCCTTCAGCCACCCTGAAGCTGCCCTGCACTGACTGGCCAGGCCTGAGCCACAGACTAAGGACCGAGTGGTGGCCCTGAGGGAGCAGCCCGCTGTGCCCCCCACCCCCGGACCCACGTTCACACTCTTGTCTCTCCCCCTCGCCCGGGTCTCCATGTCTCGTCATTCATTTCATTTCCATCAAAGGGGAGCTGGGTCCACCAGCACGTGAGTTCCAGGTGCACGGCAGAGTGTTTCCACAGTGACAGGCCTCACTGAGAGATCACAGTGACACGTCAGTGGCCGTCTGTCCCGTGCAGAGTCACTGAGACTCCCCGGCCATGCCCTGTGCTCCTGGAGCAGCCGGAGCTGACCCACACAGTGAGCGGGAGTCTGTGCCTCCCGAGAGTGACCCCTTTCTGGTGAGCCCCTGCCCGGCACGAGGGCAGCTTACCTGCCTTCTGTCCCCAGGTCCTCCGGCTCCGCCCCAGGATGTCATGGTCCAAGCAGGGGCCACCCCAGCAACTGTCCACGTCTCCTGGAAGCCGCCGGCCCTGACCGCTACCGGGCTGTCCAATGGGGCCCACGTCACGGGCTACGGCGTGTATGCAAACGGGCAGAGGGTGAGTGGTTGGGCAGGAGGCTCGCCCGGGGCGGCTGACACCCACCCCGGGGGGCGGTGACCGGGGGAGCGTCCCTCTTCCTCCTCAGCCCACCAGCACTTACTCGGCACCTGCCGCCTGGTCCCCCGGGCGTCGCAGGACACTGAGCGCCCCCACTTCTGTCTGCCCCGCTTTCCCTGCCCGCCTCCCATCGGTTACCTGCTCCGCACTGTTCTCATTCTGCTGCCCCAGGCTTAAAAGTCCACCTGCCTTGGGTCCCCCGATATCAGGGCCCCTCTGTAGGGGGTGGGCTCGTAAACCCGCCAAACTGACTCCCACCAGACACCGTTCAGGCTCCTCGGGAACATGACACGTGTCTGGGCCTTGACTCCAGTGTCTGGCGTAGGGAAGCCTGTGGCCTCCGCCCCGCGCCCGTCCTGGCACGTGACCTGGACAGGGCTGGCTTGGGGGTGGGCGTTCCTGTCTGTCCTCCTCCTTCCCTGCCCCGGTCCCCACGAGGAGCGAGGGCTGGCCAGTCAGCAGGTGTGAGTGTCTGCACTTCCCCCAGCTCCCTCTGTGAGCACGGGCCCCGTGGGCTGCAGGGCTGTCTCTGCTTGCCCACCCGTCTCCACTGGGCGGGAGCCAGCCCGACCGCAGTCCGGCCCTGTGTCCTGCCCTGCTCTGATCTGTCTGCATCCCTGCATCTGTCTCTGAGCTGGGCCTGGACCCAGGAGCCTTTTCTCCCATGGGCTAAATTGGCCCCCAGACCCTCCGACAGCCAGGGGTCCTGGTGCCTGCAGACCTCCCCGCCGGGCCCCCCAGGCTGAGACTCAGGGGCCCCAGCTGCCAGTCACAAGCGGCGGTCTGAGGCGGGCCCCCCAGTCAGGGCTGCAGGGAGGGGCTGGCTGGGCCGGCAGCCTGCGAGTGGGCTTTCTCCGTGGCAGGTGGCCGAGGTCATCGCGCCCATGGCGGACAGCACGGCCGTGGAGCTGGTGCGGCTGCGAAGCCTGGAAGCCAAGGCTGTGACCGTGCGGACCCTCTCTGCCCAGGGGGAGTCTGTGGACTCCGCCCTTGCTGCCGTCCCCCCCGACCTCCTGGTGCCTCCAGCCCCCCCCAGAATTGCTCCCACACCGAAGCCATTAGCAAGTGCCGGAGTCCCCGATACCAAAGATGACCGCCCGGGCCCCTACGTCACGGTGGACGAGGCCTGGGAGCAGGGCCGGGCGCCTCCTCACGGGCACAGGCTGCAGCCCCCCGGCCTGCAGGGGAGGCGGTCGCCGTCGCCCAGCCGGATCCTCCCGCAGCCACAGGGGGCCCCAGTGTCCACCTCCGTTGCCAAGGCCATGGCCCGGGAAGCTGCACAGAGAGTGGCGGAGAGCAGCAGGGTGAGAGCGGTTCCCGCACGGGTCCTGCCCCCCCCCCCATGGAGCATGTGTACCCTCAGCCGCCCCTTGGGCTGCCTCCGAGGCCCGTCCCCGATGCAGCCAGTGTCCTCACTTTGGGGACCTGGACCCGGGCGACGGGAGCCAGGGGTTGTGGCCTGGCCTGGCGGACGCTGCACCGGCCCCCGGCCAGGCTCCAGTGTGTCCTGGGCGTCAGCCTGGGGACCGATCATCCTACCAGGGCACCTCCTGGCCCTGCTCACACCTCAGTTCTCACTGTGTGTGTGTGAGGCACACGCACAGGTGGACATGTTTGCACACGTGCACTCGTGGTACGGAAATTCACACGTGTGTTTGCGTGGCATCGTTAGGAGCGGTCTGGGCCCCGGGGACAGGGAGCGTGAGGTTGCACTCCAGGTGCCATGTGCAGAGGGGGCACGTGTCAGACGCCCCTGCGAGGCGAGGCTGCCTTCCTCTCCCAGGGCCTGAAACTGAGCAGCACCTGGCGCCCTCCCTGCCTGGGGTCAGCCCGACTTCCCCCTCGGTGTCTGCTGGGTGGTCAGCGCACTGGCGGAGGCTCAGTGGCCCCCCAGGCCGCCTGTCAGGTCTCCAGGATGGTGACCCCCGGCAGCACCTTCTCGATGCTGGTGCTTGGAGACCCCCACTTCCTGAGAAACCCAGGGCCCGGAGGCTGGGCAGGGGCCCCCAGGAGGTCAGGCTGAGAGGCAGGTCACCTCCAGGGTCCCGGGTGGGGTGGGAGAGCCGCTGGGGCAGCCGGTTGGCCTCTTGGACGACTGTGGGCCGGCTTTCGGGGGAGGCCTCCTGGCTTGTTTGGTGTCTGCCTCTGACACTTAAGAAGCAGTTGGACTCTGACCTGTGGCCTCCGACTGCGGACGCACTTCAGCATTTGTGTGTTTGTCCTGGCCACACCCTGCTCTACTGGTTCACGGGGCTGAAGCCCGGCTGATGGCAGAGCTCTGAGTCTTGGCGTTGCTCTGTGGGCAGGAAGGCCTGGTGGGCGGCACTGCCCCTGTCCATCGGGCGCAGCCCAGCATCCCACAGCCTGGAGACCCTGCCCAGGACCCCAAGGGCGGTCGGAGGCAGAGCTGGGTGAAGGGAAGGGGCGGACGCAGAAGGCCCGGGGGCCTGGACCCCCCCTTCCCTGTGCAGCCCTGGGGCCAGGCAGCCTCTCTGCTGGCCCCATCCCGATGCCGTGCTCACCCACCTCTTTCCTCTCCTTCCAAGTTAGAGAAAAGGAGCGTCTTCCCGGAGAGGGGCGGCCAGTACGCCAACTCCGACGAGGAGGAGGGCGACGAGTCCCCAGACGTCAGGCGGAGAGGCACCTCGGTGGAGGACTTTCTGAAAGGCTCTGAGCTCGGCAAGCCCGTGAGTGTGTGGGTGGGTGGGTGGGTGGCGGGCGGGCGGCTCCCAACATCCCTGCCCTGCACCGGCCTCCGGAGGTCAGCACGGCCCCTGGGCCCTCGGACGGCTGGGGAGGTGCCAGGCCTCGGGAGGACCAGCTGAGTGGGTGTGGGAAGTTTAGATTCAGCGATCCCTGTGCGCTGGGACCGCATCTGGGGACATTTCAAAAGCCTGAATGTGAGCCCCCCACGCTGACCCCCATGCCAGCACCTGGTTGCAGGGCATTTTGTGGGTCAGACGACCAATGGGCTCAGCTCAGGCAAAGCCTGCCATCTGCCGATGCGCTTTCCTGAGCCGAGCGGACGTTTGTTGGGTGTCATGGGAGGTCCAGATGGAAAACCGCCGGCATGCTACGCTCCGAGCGGCAAAACGTCCAGACGAGGCTCACGAAGCAAATCCAGCCCGTGGCTTTGCAGGTCTGACCAGGCCTCTCCTGATGGTGCCAACACTGGTACGGGGCAACCGGAGGGCAGGGCCTTGGAGTCCCAAAACCCAACATCCTCCACATCACTCACTCCCATGGCAGGGCAGGGCAGGGCAGCGCCAGGGCCTCACCCACACCTAGCAGGCAGGGGCCACACCCTGGCTCTGCTACTGCCGTTGAAGCTGCAGGCAAGTCCCCCAACTTCTGCAAATGTCAGCTTCTTTCTCTGTGAGGTGACGTTAATGTTCCGTGCACTCACTTTCAGACAAGGAACAGCGTGCCCCACTACAATGACAAGATAACACGAACATGAAGTCACCTTGTTGCAGGGGTCTCTGGTAGGGGGCTGCAAGGTCCAGTCAGCTGCTCAGCTGTGTCTGGGCTCTGGGTTCTGAACCTTCTGTTGTTTTGGCCGTTCTCATGGTTACGAAGTGGCTGCCATAGCTCCAATAATCACACCCTCATAGGACAGCATCCCAAGAAGGAAGGAAGGGACATCTGAGGGAGGAGGGGCTTTCTCCTCTGCAATTCCTGTTAATGGGAGGAAAATATTTTGCAGAACCTCTGTCAGACATCCCATTGGGCAGCCAGGGTCATGTGCCCATGCCTCCAATTCACAAGGTTCCTATGAATGGCTTGTGGGTGACCTACCTGGCAAGCAACCAACAGATCGCCACATCCCATAGCGCACTGCTCACTCATCATCACTGGGCTTGAGCCACGTGAGGCCGTTCCCCTGCCGGGAGTTCATGCCCATGGGCTTCCCAGACCTCACTGAAAGCCCGCCTGGTCTTCGTTAGTTTGCCCCCTGAGAACCCACCCGCTTTTGTGTTGACTGCTGCGAGCCTTGTTGGGAGAATTGGGGCCCGAGCAGCTGGGAAGCTGATGCAGCAAACTGCGCCAGCCGAGGGCTTTTCAAGCTCTCGGGCACCTCTCTCGGGCACGGGGCAGGTGCAGCTTTCTAGAACCTTCCGCCGGGAGTGCCCGCACTGCCTCTTGCCCCGCAGGCCGTCTTTGTCAAGGGCAGTAATGGGAAGTGCGGCATTTTCAGCCAGTGTGTCTCTCAGGTGCTGCTGAACACACTTCTCTGGTCACCCACTAGGGACATGGGCCATGTCCTCGGTCCCCACTGTCAAGCAAAGACAACGCAGTCACCGTGCTCCGTGCTCGAAAACCCCAGTGTGCCAGTGTGCCAGTGTGCTGCTCGGCGGTTGCAGCTTTTCTTACTTTCCCTCAGCGCTCAGGGGGTGGGGGGGCCTGAGACTGTGGCTGTCCCCTCCCTGGGACGCCCTGTCAGGCTGCTGGCATCGGAGTCCACACGTTACCAAGGATTCTTCATGTCACGGGGGCTTTTCTGTGCCACCTCTGACACTGTCCCAAGCCTCTTCTCAGTGGCTTGGGCCCAGCTGGTGCCTGTGACAAGCTGGGCACACAGTGAGCACGGCCTCACAGGGCTTCGGACCCCGCCCAACCAGGCTGTTCTCCAGGCGGCCCCGTGGGCGTGTGTGCCTGTGCATGCGTGTACATGTGTGTGCATTCCAGGCCATGTGCCGCTCTTTATGGTCTGAAGCTCCTTAATAGGGTGCAGAGACGCCCACTTTCCCACCACCGTACCCCCTCCCGTGACTGGGCCCCAGCCCCTCAGCCCCTGGGCACGCGCCCTCCGGCTTGTGCCTTTGCCCGGCTGCGAAGTTGGAGATGCTGGAGGTGCCGGAGGGCAGTGTTTTCTGGCCTTGGTGGTGTGCTGCTGGGAGCCCGTTCCCATCAGGGCGCGGAGTGGGAGTCTCTGTCTGGCCCCCGCCCTGCCCCGTCGACACGGGGCTACCAAGGCCCCGCAGGCATGCTGCCGCCGCGTCTGTGAGCTCCTGAGCCAGCAGAGAAGGGCCGGCGTCAAGAACAGCCTCCTGGGCCTGCTCACTTCGCGAGGATGCTCAGCCGTGTCCCCTTCCTGCCCCCAGCCCCACTGCTGCCATGGAGACGAGTACCACACAGAGAGCAGCCGAGGCTCCGACCTCTCGGACATCATGGAGGAGGACGAGGAGGAGCTGCACTCGGAGATGCAGCTGGAGGGCGGCGGCCGGCGGCGGCCCAGCGGCACGTCCCACAGTGCCCTCAAGGTCAGTGGCCGGACGCCAGCTCTGTCCTGTCTGTTGCTGGGGCTGCGGGGCCGGCTGTAGGGGGCCTCCCCCTGCTCCCGAAGCCTGTGGATTTGGATTGGCTTCTTTCTCACCATTGAATCTGCATCCAGGAATCCCCTGTCCTTCTCAGTCTGTCCTCTTTGCTAAAAAGCCTGGGTGCGAGGGTTTGGGAGGGCCCATTTGGCACCCTGCTGGGTGCACCCAGCTCCGCACTGGGAATCAAATGGGAAGAAATCAGACAAGGAGGCCCCCACCGTCCACACCCAGAGAAGCAGCAGCCAGGAGAGGAGGGTCGGCCTGGGTCACAGCTGGGGATTGGGGACCCAAGGGGCCGGCTGTGGGGCTGTGGGAAGAATCAGTGACTGAGCTGGGCCCTGTGGAGGGCAGGAGGGATGGCCTTCCTGGGGGACAGTGGGGTCAGACCCCCCCCCCCCACCAGAGATGGGGCAGCCTCAGCACCCCCCTCTGGTGTGGCTGCTAGTGGAGGATTTGATGGGAGGTCACGTGCATGACACCGTGCCCAGAAAGAGGCTGGCCCCATGTGTCCCCCAGCCTTGTCTGGGGGGCTGTCCCCCTCTCTGCTGGCTGCTCTGGCCTGGGCATTCATTCACTGCATGGGGTGTGTGGGCTGGTCACCCCTGTGTGACCAGGGGGTGCAAGGATGGACGTGACCCCTGCCCTCTAGTTCCTTCCAACCTAGTGGGGGAGACAGACACAGGGCTGGCCAGCGGTAGGATGTCTGTGGGTTTTTTGGGTGGAAAGGCTTTGGAGAGGAGACCCAGGCTGGGGGAGAAGGGCCGGCCGCGGCATTTCTCAGGGACTCGGAGTCATGCGTTTTGAATGGTGGACAGAAGGCAACGCCCAAATCTGTTGCCAGCCTGGTGCCTCCTTGCACAGAAAGACTGAGTGATGGGCTCCCGCAAGGGCCGCGCCGAAGGACACGCCGGGTCCCCTCGCAAACCCTGCACGGTTGCAGCTCCTGCCCCTCCCGCTGGCCCCTTGCCCTGTCCCGCCAGCTCCCCACGTCACCCTGTCCAGCAGGGTTCAGGAGCCTTTCTGGTTGCAGGAAAGCCCCAAGCCCCCTTGTGAGAGTCCAGCCCACTCTCCCCAGGATGCCCCACGCTCATAGCTGGGCCAGATGAAGCATGTGCCGGTATCCCCGCCACCCACGGTGCTGCTCCTCTGGGTGGGGGGAGCTCCCTGAGAGCTGCGGGGCAGGGACGCGAAAAGGGCGTCCCCCCAGGGAGGGGCCCAGAGGGCGAGCAAGGTCTTTAGAACACCCTGTGGCCGCGTGGGTGTGGTACGCCCCGCACCCACAGGCTCAGCCCCAGCCCTTTGGGGCGTCATGGTGGGCAGGCAGCGGGGCTGCCGGCAGTGGCTGGGCGGGTTTAGTCTGTCCCCAGTGCACTTGCAGCTTAGAGATGAGATGTCTTGGGCTGATCTGGATTTCTAGCTGCTTCTAGAAATCCCGGGTCAGGGTTTGGGACTTGGTGCAGGGGGCTCACCGAGCTGCCACCCAGGCTGTGTCCCGGCTGGATCGGTCCGGCTGCCCTGCACGGGGCCCACTGGCCCGGGAAACTCTGGGCAGACCCCGCGCTTCACCACAGCCGTCCTCCCCATCACGCTCCCAGTGCCGATGTTCTCGCCGTCCTGCTAGCAAACAAGGGAGGTTCTCAGTGGGCAGAGTGTGCATCCTTCACTGCCCACGAGCGCTCTGCAGGTCCCGGGGAACCTGCCACTTCCCTGTGCTCATGGACCCTGCAGGCCAGTGTGGGGACAGGCGGGGTGGCAGATCACCATGCTCCCGAATGGTGTGCCCCCTGGACACTGAGAGCTGGTGGGAGGACCCGAGGGGCGTGCCTGGCCTAGAGGGTCAGTCTTCCCAGAGCAGACCCCCCCCACGCTGCGTCCACACAACAGAGACTGAGGCTGGGTGAGCAGAGTGGGTGGGGTTGTGCAGATGCACAGCACCCACCCCCCAGGTGAGCCAGCATGGGGCCAGGCCCTGGGCCCTCGGTAGCCAGGACGTGGCTCTCCACTCGGGGCTCCAAGTCTAGGATGTGGAGGAGGGTCAGGCAGACCCCTGGCCTTTGCAGACACTGACGGGCGAGACTGGGGAGCGGGACGGGTCTCAGGGCAAGGACAGACTCCCAGTGATCAGGTCCTGGTTTCACACTTAGGGAGGAAGGAAGGCCAGCTCAGTGCTAGGAAGAGGATGAGAGAGGACAGGTGTTGTTTGTGACGCAGCTCAGTCACAAACACCCGGCACCTGGTGGTAGCTGCCTGGGGACGGGCGCAGCCAGCGGGCAGCGGGTCAGGTCTCCCCGGCACTCTGGGCACAGCTGGCTCACGGAACCAACCACGTTGGTCCAGGGCAGCATCCTGCCTCCGTGCCGCCCGGCGCTCAGCAGCCCCCACCTGCTTCCCTGGTTCAGCACGTGGTCTGCCCGCCCCCACTGCTCCTGCCCAGCCCGGCTCCACCCTTCCGCCCGCTCCGCTCTCATCTTAGAGCCTGGCCAGAGCATGCCATCCCTGCACCAAGCTGGCAGCATGCCCCACCCCTGCCTCCGAGACTAATGCTGTGTTTTCTTTCCCTCCCTTGGCCCCTCATGCCTGCTCACACACCATCTGTGCACGCGTCCCTTAGGAGTGCCCTATGCATAGGACCTGTGAAGGGGCCTTCCCGGAGCAGCCCGAGGGCCCCCCGCAGGCCCCGCACAGCACCAGGCTGTCCAGTATCCCTGAAGTAGCAGAGGAGGATCCTGAGCACTGCGAGTTCCTGCACAGACAGGGCTTAAGGCGCTCGTCTGGGACCTGGGGGCCTGGGCCCGCCAGGCTCTGCCGGAGGCGCGGCGCCCCGCAGGGCTCCTGGTTTCCTGCAAAACTCAGGGGTCCCACAGCTGGGCCCTACACCGAGGACATCCTTCTCGAAGACAGAGGCTATCGGGTCAGCCGCTCGGCCACCAGGAGTCCAGACAGCGGCCTGGACTGTGGCAGTGAAGAGGAGGACCCTCGGTGGAGCTCCAGAAGTGTGGCTGCTACGGGCAGCCCAGGCCCCGGGCCCTGTCCCTGCAGGAGCCTGAGGCCCCTGCTGGCCCGGCGGCGGACGCTGACCCGGCAGACTAGCATCGAGGAGGACTTTGGGGAGCAGGTGGACCCCAGCGCCCTTGACGGAAGCATTGACACCCGCCCCAGTCCTGAGAGGCCTGCCCCCGGGACATCTGGCTGGGACCAGCCCGCGGGTCTGGACGTCTGGAAGAAAAGCCTAAAAACAGCCCCCAGTGGGGCGACCACCCAACACGCACAGACTCCTCCCCGAGTGGCAGAAGGCCCCGTGGTGTGTGAAGTGAGCCCTCCTCGCCTCCGCTTGCCAGACCAATCCGTCCGCCTCCTCCATCTCACCCCCTCGTCTGGGCGCCCCCCGGGCCTCTCGCTGGCTGCCTTTGGTTTCCATGCCGTTCTGACTTTCTGGTCCATTGCTTCCCAATCTTCTGACCGCGCTGAAGATTTCTTTATTTCGCTTCTGAATAATGATTCCCCCACCCCCAAATCAGCGGTGATTATGGCTGCTTTAGTTAAAGGACAACTAAATCTAAATTTTAATTAAGGGTTAGCTGAACTGCGCTCACCCCAAAGTCTGACAGCACGTAGGTTTCCAGAATGGACGTAGGGACTGATGTCTGACTGTCGGTGCCACGGAAGGCTCTCTTCCTGTGGCTTTGGTGTTGAGTTTTGGCCTCTCTCCTTAACCAGGAAAAAGCTTCGTAGCTCCTATCAGGCCCGACTCTCCCCTGAGCACACACGTGAGGTCTCAGGTGGGCCAGGCCACGCTTGGAGCAGGTGCAGTTTGCCATCTGTCCACGAGGGGGCTCTGACCCACGCCCCCTTGCCTCTCTGCGGACCTTGGCCCCCACGGTGGACACAGCCACAGTTGTTCCCCGCCTGTAACAGGCCCTCCTCTCACTGGTGCCCTGAAGATTTATTTCTCTTTCCTTGGGTCCCAGAGAGCATCCCGACTCACATCACTTACCTGGAGCTGGAGGCTCTGCTCGGACCCTCTTGTACAATCTGATTACCGTTAGTGCCAGGAGCAGACAGCGGTCAAGCGAGCCCTGACGTGACATCTTCAGGTCAGGGCTGGACGCTGCCTTGAGTGTCACACGCCCGGAGGCTTCTCCGTCTGTGAGTTTTCGGGGACCTCATGTGCAGCTCTGCCACCACCTGGCGTTTTCCCACCTCTGTGGCCGTCAGAGGGGCCCGTCGGTCAGGGGTGCACGCGGTCCCAGGGCCACCCGGGCGACGAGCCGTTGCAAGCCCTTTCGTTTGGGGTCGGACACCTGGCCTCTGCAGCGGGAGCGGCGCCACAAAGATGCCCTTCGAGGGACTCTCTCTGCCTGCCCCCCGCTGCGGAAGTCGGGGTGCCGGGCTCAGCAGCTCCGTCTCCCAGGCCCTTCAGCTAACCTTTCAGTTAAAAGCTCAGTTTAGTTGCCTTTACAGCTTCTGCTTCTGAGTTGAGTTGCTTTGGCCGACTCGGTCCTGTGTCCCCAGGGCTGGTGGGCTCATGACTTCGTTGTTTTGTCTCCAGATTCTAGGCAACCCCGCGGCTGCAGGACGGGCCGACCGGCCGGACTCCGTGGGCCGGAGGTTTCCCCATGGCAGCGCCGGCCCCCCGAGGTCCCGGCCAGGGACGGGCCCCTCCATCGGTTAGTGTGCCTGCTTGGCGCCTCTGTCTTTCCTTCGGCCACAGGGCACGTGGCTGCGTAGAGCCTCGGTGCAAACATTTAGGAACGTGAGTGGGAACAGCATTTTCATCTAAACATGGGGACCCCCCCTTAGCTGAGGCAGAAGGGAGGAGAGGCAGCACAAGAGAAATGAAGCCGGTTTGCAAGGGTTCTCACTCAGAGGGTCCCGTCGCGTTTTCAGAAGATGAAAGGGAATCGTGCTCAGAAATGAGGGGACGCAGCTGACGTCTCCACCTGCAGAGACAAAAAGTTGGAAACTGCTGAATGCACGGGGCCACCAGATAGAAAGGTGGCCTTGTTTCCCGTGGGCGTCCCCACCCGGAGAGGAGGTGTGGTCGCGTCTAACTGCCTTGCTCTCCCTGACGGTGGCGTCACCCCTCCCACAAAGCTCCAGCGGTGGGGGGGGGGGGACACGAGCCCCCGAGAGAGCTGACACAGCTGCCACACCCACCCTCACTCTGCTCTGTGGGCCCCGTCGGAGTCGCACTGGGCAGATGACTCTCGGAAACTTGAGGAAGCAGGAGATGTTGCCATTGCCTGGAAATAGGCGACGTGTGTGGGGGCGATGAGACAGGCCAGCTGTTTAAGTTCTTTCCCTCGCAGAAGGTAGATCGCCAAGCTTTAGCAGCTTCCCCGGGCATTCTGGGAAGACCCCCGGTTTAAATAACGTGAAGTGCTCACATTGGAGCACTTGAAACCCCCAGCTTTCCCACAGCTGAGATGTCTTTTATGTTCCCACTAAATGTGTCTGCTGGCGACAGAGCCAGTGGCTTGGCTGTGCCTGCACGGCCTGTCCTGCCACACACTGGTGATATGCTGTCGGTCCGCTGTGTGCTCCAGAGAAGGCAGCAGCGCTCTGGCTGGCCACTGGCCCCGTCTGCCCCCTTCTGGTGACTGGGCTTCCCTCACTGCCTCCTCCCTGGTCAGCAAGCAGCCCTCTTTCTCTCTCCGTCGCCTTTATGGGGCGATGGATTTGCGGGTTCGTCTAGATAGTGGGCTGGAATTATCTAGATGCATGCCACCATGGAGCCTAATGCTGTCCCTGCACTCACGCGGGGGTTTCAGAAAGAATCCCTGTTTGCAAGTGGCCGGGAGGTGGCAGCAGTTACCACACGCGTTGTTTGGAGCCGAGGGAAGGGCGTGGGGGCTGTGTCACACCCTGCGTGGGAAGTCTTGGGCTTCGGGCGCCTGTGGCGGTGCCTCTGGTGCAGCGGTGGGGGCTCAGCCCTCTGGTCCGCACACGCGCAGCGGCTGCTGTGCACAAGGTGGGCGTGCACCTCGCACCCACGCCTGGCCCGGCGGACCAGTTCTGCCTACAAGCCGTGCGGCACGCTTTCAAAGATGACAGAATTACTGCATCAGGGTGACTGGGGCTCTGGCGGGTGACCCAGCTCGGGCCTGTGTGCCTCACGCCCCCAGATGAATACGGCGACCGAGACCGGCTTTCCCCGGACTTCTATGAGGAGTCCGAGACCGACCCCGGGGCCGAGGAGCCCGTGGCCCGCATCTTCGTGGCCCTGTTTGACTACGACCCCCTGAGCATGTCCCCGAACCCTGACGCTGCGGAGGAGGAGCTGCCCTTCAAGGAGGGGCAGATCATCAAGGTGGGGCGCCCTGCCGGGCCTGGGGGCGCTGCGGGCTGGGGCCCTGGGAGGGCGGGTCATCCGGGCGGGGCTGCGACTGAAGGGCTGCCTGGCTGAGGCCGCGGACCGCGCTTGGAGCCCGGACCTATTCCTGAGCCCACCAATCACCGTGCGGTGAGCCGGTGACGTCATTTGGAGCCTGCCAATCACAAGGCCTCGGCTTCCCGTGGCCGCAGGTCTATGGCGACAAGGATGCGGATGGCTTCTACCGCGGTGAGACCTGCGCGCGCGTGGGCCTCATTCCCTGCAACATGGTCTCCGAGATCCACACGGACGACGAGGAGATGATGGAGCAGCTCTTCAGACAAGGCTTCCTCCCGCTCAACACGCCCGTGGAGAAGTTGGGTAAGAGCGGCCCCGCCCCCTTCCCCCCCTCCCAGAGTTGGCGTCAGGGTCCTGCGCCTCCCTGAATGGCGACGCGGGTGACCTGATGGGGGCGCGGAGAGAGCGGCTTTCTCTCCAAAGGCTGAGAAATAGGCACTTGCTTCTTGGTCGTTTTAGATTCAGTGTCTGTGTCCCCCCTCCTACCCCAGTATTTTGAGACCCTAACTCCCAGGGAGAGGTATGAGCGGGTGAGGAGTTCGGGAGGTGATGCGGTCACGAGTAGGGCCCCCAGGGTGGGGTGAGCGCCCTCACCAAAGGGACCTCAGAGAGCTGCCGCCCTCTCCTCGGGTGAGGGCTCCTCTGTGAGCCAGGAAGTGGACTTTCAGCAGACACCCAGTTTTTAAGCAACGTCACATTTATGATCTTCATTTTCTTCACACGCAAGGAGCACCCACTCTTTATAAAGGTGTTTCCTTTTTCTAAATACCTGGAGATGGAAAGATCAGTTCTATGTCATTCATAGTTTAGGTTTCAATATGTGAAAACATTAGGTTAACTTCGAAACCAGACTTCAAAGACAAAATTCAAAGGCTCAAAGAACGTGCATCGTCTTAAGGATGACCACAGATGAAACGAAATGTGCCGCCCCTGGTGGTACCAGTGGGCCCACTGTGTAATGGCTGAGGTTTTCTGCCGACCTGTTGCCCCCCGAAGCCCCGGAGCGGGAGCTCTCTATGTCCTGTGCACCGAGTCCTCCCTTTCTCAGCTGACCTCCTCCCCAGACATCAGCGGGGACGGAGCCATGAGGGGACAGGCTGTTCCCACAGACCGAGAACACCTGGCAGCAGTCTGCTAAAAACCAGCAACTTGAATGACATCGTCCATTAGCTCGAATGTCTGTCCTTTTCTATTCTTCTAAGTGCAGCTGGACATCTGCCCACCCTGAGGGTCCTGGGAGTCCTCACACTTCCAGGGGAGAGACTAGGAGCTGGCTCCACCCACGTCTCTCCGTCTATCCCCCGGCTAGTGTGGTCACAGAGTGACGGGAGTCAACAGTGTGAGGGCTGGAGATGACGCTATAGATTTCTCAAAGGATCTATAAGAAAGCAGTTCGCAGAAGTCCCTAACACGTGAGTTAACCAAGGTCAACGGCTACACTGGCAACGGCATTTCCATGTTCGCAGCGAACATCAGAGATTTACGTTTAAAAAGCCGAACTGTCACAGCAACAGCAGGACGTGCAGCGCTTTGGGCCACGCCCGACGAAGTACGTCAGGGTCAGTGGGCCGGAAACTCCGAAACACTGGTAAAAGGAGTCACAACATTGCTGGATAAAGAGAGGTGCCGTGTTCTTGGCGTCGCCAAGGTATCGAACGTCCCCAGAGTGACCAGGAGGCGGACGAAGCCCTGCTCAGAGTCCGTGCAGGGTGCAGGCAGGGTCAGCCAGCTCAGTGCAGAATTCATCTGGAAAAGCAAGGGAACTAGAATCACCGGAGCGATTTTTTTAAAAGAACAAAATTGGTAGACTCACATAACCTGACTTTCTAAAAAGTAATATTTTTTAAACAATTATTTACTTACTGGCCTGGCTGGTGTGGCTCAGTGGATTGAGCACCAGCCTGAGGTTGTGGTCACTGGTTCAATTCCCAGTCGGGGCACATGCCTGGTTTGCAGGCCAGGTCCCCAGGAGGGGGCGCGGGAGAGGCAACCACACATGGATGTTTCTCTTCCTCTCTTTCTCCCTCCCCTCCCTTCTCTGACATAAATAAAATCTTTAAAAGGTTACTTACTTATTTTTAGAGAGAGGGGAAGGGAAGGAGGAAGAGAGGGAGAGAAACATCCATGTGAGAGAGAAACATTGATTGGTTGTCTCTCGTATATACCTGGACCGGGGACTGAACACACAACCCAGACATGAGCCCTGACTGGGAATCGAACCTGTGAATTCAGTTCGTGGGATGATGCCCGGCCCAGTGGACCACACTGGTCAGGGCTAATCTGATTTTAAGACCTACTATAAAGTCAAACTAATCAGGACAAGGTGGTGTTGGAAAAAGATAGGCGCTTGATCAGTGGGAGAGAATAAAGTCCAGCCCACTCTGCTTGGCCACCAGGTTACGCTGATGCTGTGTAAATCGTTATTATTAAAACTCGCTATATTAACAGTGGCTGGGCTTTTTCTGGACAGACCTTCTGGAAACTAAGACTGTAAAACTTCTAGAAGTAAACATGGGGGAGAGCTTTGTGAGGATCAGGCAACAATTTCTTTATGAGACTAAAATCATGATGCATAAAAGAAAAATAATGTTAGATTTTATCAAAGTGAAGTGCCTCGGAGCTTGGAAAGACGCCCTTAGAAGGATGAAGGGAGGCCGAGGGCTGGCAGGAAGTATCTGCAGGCGACTCAGCTGCAGAGGGGTCTGTACTTCGGTACACGAACGCCTTTCAAAACTCAGCACCAAGGAAAGAAGTTACCCAGGAGCAGCATGGACAGACTTGAAGAGAGTCTGCACCAGAGACGCACGAGCGTGACTCGGCACGTGGACAGGGGCGCAAGCTCGTGGGCGAAACACCCGGTGAGCTGAAGACGGGAGGTGAGGCGGAACGGGCCGGCTCCTGCCACCGCCGCCGCCACGTGCAGCGTCCTCCCACAGCTCAGAGGGACGGAAACTGTCCACGCAACAAGCGCAGGGCTGACGACGGTGGCTCTGCTGGCACATGGGCGTCACAACCCTGGTCGTGCACACGGTGCAACCTGCTCTCCAGTGACAAGAGAACAAAGGACGACAGAGCACATGGCAGTCAGGTCCCAGGCGCAACATCCAAGGGACCGAGACCGTCCCTAAAGCTGCGAGATTCCACTCAGACGACCTCCTGGAAGAGGCTGACATCGGGGGGCCGAAGACCCGCTGTTGGTTCCCCAGGGTGGGAGGGGACGATAAAGGGGCGCACAGGAGTTTGGGGGGGCAGTGTGACCCGACGCGCTGCAGCCAGAAAGCGTGGACGGCGAGGTGTGAGCCACGCTCGGGGGAGAGTGCAGGCGGGCTGACCTCGTCACCTGCAGAGGTTCTCGGTCCCGACGTCCCCCGTGGAGCTGAGCAGTCAGAGCACTGGCGTCACTTCTGGGACATACGTATTTTGTGTCAAGGGCGCGTAATCCCCAAGTCCCGCAAAGGTGGGCCTGCTTATTCTAAATTAGAACGAGACGTAGGACCAGGAAGTCCAGGCGACTGGCCCCAAAGCAGAAGCTGTTGCCAGGGCCGTGAGCCTGAGACCTGGTGCAGGGTGGTCCTCTCGGGTCCCTGCCACGCTGACAAGGACCAGGGGCCCACCGCCTGTGCGGTGGCGTCACGATGGCTCTCTTCCTCCCCTGGGTGTCCGCAGAGAGGACCAGAAGAGGCGGCAGGCAGCACCCCGTGTCCACGCGCAGGATGGTGGCCCTGTATGACTACGACCCGCGGGAAAGCTCGCCCAACATCGACGTGGAGGTGCGGCCTGTCCCCCCCCTTCTCCCCAGCGCACCCGCTGGCGCTGTACTTGGTGTGGCTCCCGCCTGCTCCGGAGCCCTCTGCGGCCCCCAGAGCAGCAAATGGCTGCTGGCCGGGGTGGGGGGGGCAGCCGAGGACAGGCTCAGGCACGGCGGCCTTCATGGGCAGGGCAGCATGTGACCCACACCCAGTGGTGAGGCCCCTTAGCGTCTTCCTGAAGGCGGGCGTGAGGGCCCCGGGGTGGAGGCGCAGGGAGGACGGGCACGTGCTGTGGGCAGGACCGACGTGGCTGGGTGACCTCGGCACACCTGTGAAGCAGAAAGGACCGGCCTTTGGAGAGATTAGGTTTCCCCCCCGGAGCTGCTTCCTCAGAGGACAGGGTGTGTCCGGACCCCATCACCCCGGGCGTCTGGGGTCCGGAGAGCCTGGCCCCAGGGGCTGCTTCAACGAGCTCCGCCAGGCTCCGTGCACAGGCGCCTGAGGCCCTTCGGTGGGGACCTCTCCCCCAGTCACCTGTTTAGAGACTGAAGTGCATCTTTTGGCACCTGCAGCTCATCGATTTTCCTGTCCCCGGCCTGGAGCTGGCCCCTCGTGGTCCCTGAAATAGGTGTTTGATAACGGAGCACAGATTCTCTTGCCTTGGGGGAGGATACTTACATGAAGGTCCCTGGTGCTCGAGTTAACGACGGCATGACGGGTGTTAGGATGGCAGAGGGACGCGGCTGTGACCTGAGTTCTGGCGGAACCAGGATGCCGCCGCGCTTTCCTGCAGGTGCCCGGGTGTCAAGGGGTCGCTCTTTCTAACAGGCCACGCACACAGACGTGCTGGTCAGCTTTGTAGGTTAATACCAGATCATTGCGGGGGAGATCGAGGAATTGCAAGACCTGTGTCAACCACCCCGCAGAGGCTGAGGCCGTTCACTGTGTGCTCTCTCTGCCCAGGCTGAGCTCACCTTCTGCACAGGTGACATCATCTCCGTGTTCGGTGAAATCGATGAAGACGGGTTTTACTACGTGAGTTTCTGAAGCATCGGGACGCACCACGCCATTCACTGGTGTGTCTGGTCTGCAGTGTCCATGCTGTCCTTGGGGTGGAGACTGGCAGTGGACGTGCTGGGTCGCACAGGGCAGTTGACCTTGAGCGGCGGCCGGCTCCCACCAAGGTTGCGCCAGGCCCCGGTGCCTCCCGGTCTCCACCAGCAGCCACCGTTCCAGGGGAGGGAGGCGGCGCTTCCTGGTCTTGCTCTGCGTTTCCCTGATGGTTACTGGTGCTCGATGGCCATCGCAGGCCTTTTGGAGAAGCAGCTATTCAGGCCCTTTGCCCTTTCTAATCGGGTGGTGTTTCTCTTGAGCTGAGGGCATCCTGTGCCTGTGGTGGAGGCGAGCCCCCACTGGGGCCGTTCTGCAGGTTCCCTTCCCTGCCGGGCAACCCAGGGGGGGCCCCTGTCATGCTTCATCTCCCAGACCTTGTGAGCAGAGGACAGGCTGCCGTGGGCCACCCCAGGACTTGGTCCTGGGTGCCTGTGGGGCGGGCGGGTGGGTATCAGGCGTGGGGGAGGACGCAGTTCTCCCACGCCTCCATGCGCAGGTGGAAGGGTCTGGGAGGATGTGCAGCAGCCCGAAGCCGTGGTCTTGGGGGGCTGTGGCCCGTTCCCCAGCTGCAGGGTCTGAATTTCTAATGAGACTGAAGCCGGGCCTGGGGGCAGAGGCTTGTGGTGGGACAGACCTGCCTGCGTGGTCTCGCCACTGCAGTTAACTCCCGACATGGTCTCCACCTCCCGACCCTGAACTGGAGGGGATCTGTCTGGCCAGCGTTCCTGGGACCCCCAGGTCCCAGCATGGAGAACTGTGGGCTGAGACCACCTGAGGCTCCAGACTGGGCTGGTGCCAGGGTCGCCCAGGCCCCACAGGCCAGATCCAGGGAGGTCACGGAGGTCATGGCCACAACCAGGGCAGCTTCGCGTTGCGCCCCTTTTGAACTGGAAGGAGCCCCCACACCGCTGTCCTCTGAGCGTTCCTGCGGCGGGGGCCGGGGGTGGGGGGAGCAGGGTGGAGGGCAGTGGAGGGAGGGGGCTCCAGCCTCCTGTGTTTGCAGGGGGAGCTCAATGGGCAGAAAGGCCTGGTGCCCTCGAACTTCCTGGAAGAAGTGCCTGACGACGTGGAAGTCTATCTCTCAGACGCCCCGTCCCCCCACGCGCAGGACACGCCGGCGCGCTCCAAGGCAAAGCGGGTAAGCAGCCGTCCCCAGCCGGTGTCGTGTCCCTGCCACTGCCACCTGTGCTCTCACGCAGTCTGTCGTCCGCTCCGCATCCCGAGCTGAGAGCGCACGCCCCCAGCGTTCCTTCCGCCCTTCCCGGGGGCGAGCCCGAAAGCACTCACTTCTAGACCTCACATCTCACAGACGGCGACCCTTTCCGTTCTAGCTGGCCTGCCTCCACTCACAGGGGGACCCCTCCCCCGTGACAGACGCACACCCGGTCTGAGGGGGGGCGCGGGCTGCCCGTCCGTAGGCACCAGGCAGCAGGGAGGCAGCCCCGCCGGGGTCCCCGTCCGCCCGGCCAAGGTCAGAGTGCTCCGCGGGCGCGTCTGACGGCCGCCGACATTCACGTGTAGTGCCTCATTTTTGTTTTATTTCATCACTGCGAGTTTTTATATATTATATTTTTATATATATATTTTTATTTCTTTGCTCATCTGCTTGGAAACAGAAGAAGAGTGTTCATTTCACACCTTAATCAGGCCATGTAGCCTTCACGTAAGTCAGCAACTGAAGATACCTATAGAACACCGACCTAAGCTACCTTAACGGACTAGCGCGGTAGACTTAAGGTTCGCTGTGGGGTTGCAAAGAGAAACATGTCTCAGAAAATCATTGGACCTACAGTGTCAGGTGTCTGTTGCCGGGCGTCAGTTGCAGGGCAGCTGGATGTGTGTGGTGAGACGAACCGTCCCTCACGGGCACTTCCTTCCGTCCACACGGAGAGCATTGGAAAGGCTCCCACATTGGGAGCGTATTGCTTACGAGGCCAGTGGCGTGTTTACGTAGCGTTCCAATGTCTACTCGTAACCGAGGCTGCGTATTGCATTGTGAGCCAGGCTTGCAAAAAGCACAGCCTCGCACGAATGTTTGCCACGGGACTGCGGCTTCCGTAAAACACCCAGCGAGATCAGGCTCCCCGCCGGGCCGTGAGCGGGGCAGCCGCCCGCCGCGCTGGCCTGAGGGCCGCACCCGTCTCTGGGGTCCCCAGGCCTCTGTGCAGCGAGGGCCAAGCGTCTCCCCAAAGCACAGAGACCATGGGGAGAGGCTGGGCTGGTGGCCACCAATGCAATACCAAGTTCGGTCTAGGAGACACGCAGCTCCAATGATTGCCTCACATGGAGGACACGGTATCTTCAGGTGACCTTGGGATGCTTGACGAGGTGTTTTCCATTAGAGTTAGACCTTGATTTTAAATCCAAGCAAGCTTGAAGCCCCTTGGCTGGTGCCCTTTTCCTGCTGAATACGGAACCCTGGGTGGTGGGGGGAGGCTTGCTCTGGCGAGGTCAGGCAGCGAGGGGCGGTGGTCCCGCATGTCAGGTGTGAGGCCAGTTGGGGCCTGGCGAGGCCACCAGGCGCCCCGTGGTGAGCTCAGTCGCTCCCCGTTTAAGGTCAAGGTCATGGAGACACTGAAACTCACCATGTAGCTCACAACCGACAAATTCTATCTCTGGTTACATGTGAATAACGACCACATACAGTGAGGGCCTTGAAGCTTTCTTTGATTGTAATTAAGGTTCATTTTAGTTTTTTTTTTTCTTTCAACGGGTGTGCCATCTCCAATATTTCTAACCCAGGAACGCACGTGCTCCCTCCCCTGCACTCCCCAGGGTTTATAGACCCAAGTAGCTTTCAAAGGCAACAGAATTCCCCTTAAGAAAGTTCACTTTTGAGATGACCAGTGGGTACTTGGCCAACCTGACTACCAACTTCACTTAAAACAGCCCCCAGCCCTTGGTCTTAATGTACAAGGGAAGCGAGTCCCTAGCTCTGTCTTGCCAAAGCGCTGGCCACTCTGCCTGCCCTGAGGACACAGACTGAGCCGGCCAGGCCTTGGGCCAGTGACGCTGGGGTGCCCCCTCCCCCGGGGCAGTACCACTGGAAAGAGGAGAGAGCACCCTTCCCCCCCCTGCGCGCGGGCCGGGCGTGGAAGCGGCCGAGGGGCTTGGCGGTGCTGGCGCTGACACTCCACCTGTCACACTGTACCTACCAGGTTCCTCCTGAGGGGTCAGGTACAGCAAGGAGAGCGCCATCCCCCACAGCCCATCTCCATTCGGGGTCACCTGCGTCATCTGTGGGTACTGGTAGTCCCGGGAGAGGCAGGGCAGTGTCCTCGAGAAAGAAAAAGGGGCTGCTTTTCAAAGGCAAGAGACTGCTGAAAAAGCTGGGCGCGGTGAAGTGAGCCACTGCTGCGGACGGCGTCCGAATCCGCGCGCTTTTCCTTAGTTCCAAACGAGGGCTCTCTCGACGCTGCACCTCCCAGGACCCCTCTCCTGACCCAGCGGAGTGCGCTCTGCCCCTCCGCCCACCCACCTCAGGGGCTGCAGGCCTCGGGCTGCGGCCCCCTGGCGGTCACCGCCCCGGGTCTCGCGGGAGGGCCCCCCAGGCGGGCCAGGCCCCGGCAGCCCCCACACCGGGCCCCCAGTCTTTGTGCACTTGCCCCTGAGGGAGCGGCTCCCACCCACCCCCTCTCCCCAGTGCTTCCCCCACGCGCGTGACTGTCACTTGAACTCTGGTCCTGAGGCCCCAGTCGAGCCGCCTTGGTGTTCTGCCTTACTCCTGCACAACGGTTTGTATGTCTAATAAAACTTCGCTGTCCGCTGTCTGTGTGGTGCGTCCAGTGCTCTCCACCCCCACACGCAGGGGCCTCAGACCCGCCCGTCCGGGCAGGGAGCCGCAGGACGCCGGGCTCCCCGGCCGTGTCTGCTCGGCCGCCTCCTTCAGGGCAGAGCAGGTGCCTCCTCGGCAGGGCCACCTCCCCGCGCGCCAGAGAGCCGACACCGCCCCCGCTTCGTGTTACGTGTTGTGGCCTGTGGATTTCCGCAGCTTTCATCATTCTTTAAAATGCCAGACACAGACACCACCAGCAGCAGCGCCCACGGAAAGCCATCCCTCACGCGTGAGCACCGCAGAGCACCCTGCCCGGAGTCTGCCCCCGGGGGTCCCCCCACCCCCCGGCACTTGAACAAACATTTACAGAGTCGCCGGCAGGTGCATTTGATGGTTACTCTTTTGTAATTCTTGTCCACTTGTAAATTGTTTTTACTCTTTATACGCGGACTTTTCAGACTGCCTTTCTTTTGTAATTGACGGAAGGTTTGTAACTGAGGGCCCGCTTGGCCCGTTGTGTCTTCAGAACTGTGTTGTCGGCTGTAATGGGATCTGTGCGGCAGGGCACGAGGAAACGGCCCTGCGTGGTTCAGCGCGGTGTGGCTGTGGCGTGGGCACGGCTCGTGTCCAGCGTTTTCTAGAAATAAAACTGGCGATTTTGTACGACACCGTGTATTCTGTGTTGTTTGAGGCGCTGGGTCACAGCGGCACAGCCGCGCTCGCCAACACGGACGACAGCCAGTCTGCGGCCTTCCCTGAGCTCCCCCCCTTCCAGAAGTAGTTCTGACCCGTGGTTTGGGCCTCATTCGCAAAATGCTGCCACTCGCCTTGGTGACAACCCAGTCGGTGGCGCGGCCAGACCATCAGCATTGAGTCCGCGGTTCCCGTGCACAGGACGCCCTCCTGCGCAGCCAGGAGGCGGGAAGGGAGAGCCCCCGATCTGCGCCTGTGCTGGCCCTCGGCTTGGCCGGCGTCCTAGCAACGGGGACCTCCTAGCGCCGGGGACAGCGAGCACCTGCTTAGCATAGCACACCACCACTTCTCAAAGGCAGACACTTTTCCAAAAAGCCCTCTTGGCTTTAGTGTTCTCCTGATAATGGGGCGTGAGCAGCACCTTACGGTGAGATGAAGTGGGATCCAAGCGCCGTCACTATGAAATGACGTCTGAGTCCGCCACTAAACCGGACGCCCCAGGTCATCCGAGTGTGACCATGTCTCCTCCGGCCGCTGCGGCGCGAAGGGCTGGTGGCCGAGAAACGTGCTGCTCGGTGTCCTGCCTGCAGGGCCGAGAGTCAGACCCGCACGGGCAGAGGAGGGCGCTGTTCCGCAGGGGCCGGGGCCGGGGGTGCCGGTCAGAGGGTCCACGGTGTTCGTCACGCACCGACGAGTTTAGTTACATATGAGTACAGTCTGGTGCTCTAACGTAAAGGAAAAGCTGAAATGCTAAATTAAACGCAACGTTTAAATTTGCTTTGAAACTCCCGTTTAAGAAATACTAGTGTAACTATGTGTGACGTACTTAATGCCACGGCACACTTACAGGTGGTTGAAGTAGTATAATTTATGCGCTACTCGACCACAGGAAAAAGTCAGCTGATGACGATTTCTCCAAAAGAAAACCAGCAGCAAGGGCAGCCGGACCGAGTGTCTCCAAGTCTGAAACACGGGTCTCCCAAGAAAATCCACAGCAACGGCAAGCGGGACTCGGCTGTGGCGAAGGTCACCGGGCATTGAAGGAGCACAAAGCGCCCACTGTGTGCGAGTTCTTCCGGAGACCAGAGGAGAAAGATGCCCAAATGTATGAGGCCAGCATCATCCTGATGCCAAAACTAGTCCAGTGTGCTGTAGGAGAGTTGCAGACCAACAGCGCCGTGAGTGGAATGAAAGATCCCTCACAAAATACTAGCAGATCGAGTCCAGCCCTACACGCAGAGGCTGGGTTATCACACCGAAGAGGGTCGGTGTGGTTTGCAGCACCAGCAGAGCAAAAGGGAGGTGTGCTGTCTGGTCGTCTGTCTGTCCACGCCTGTCCAGGAAGCAGGGAAAGAGAGAGATCGGTCTCCCCTGGTGAAGGTTGCAACCCACACCCTCCTCTGGGGTGAGTGAGGGCTGACCGCGCCCCTTCCGTCGGAAACCAGGGGGGACGTCCACCTGACGACTGGCGTCTGGCCCCCGCATGGAGCTTCTCCGGGACAGCAGGAGAGAGGAGGAGATGAAGGCCACCCGCCCGGGAAAGAGGAGGAGGAACGGTCCCTGTGTGCAGGCGACGTGACTCTGTGCAGATGACATTCTCGGCGAGGTGGCAGAGAGTGTCAGCATGCAAGTCAGCTGTCGCTACAAACCAGCAGGCAAGGGTCAGAAACAGAACGAGATACTCCTATGTGACCGAAAGACACATGTGGTTATGTTAGCATCAAAACCACGGGAGATTCAGGGACAAATTTAATGAAATGTGTGTGAGGCCCCTATAGAAGAGCCCCTAAATCTCCAAGGTGGCAGATACAGGTGTGTGTCATCTGTCAGAACTCACCAGATTGTGTTCACGTACACAGAAATTAAACCTCAGTGAAGTTGACTTAAAAAGCTATGGCCTCTGAGTTGGGGAGGAGGGGGAGGAGTTGGTGTCCAGAGGTGCAGAACTGCCCAGAGAGGAGGTGTCAGGCTGCTTCTCTGCCCGCACAGGCCCCTGGGCCCCAAGGGAGGGGGCAGGTGGCCCAGGAGCAGCCCCCAGGGATCTGGCCCTTCCCGCACAGTGTGGTGTCCGTGGGCCCAGGACCACCTGGCGCCTGCCAGAGCCAGGGCTGCAGCCTGGCTGCCCCTCCCCCAGAGTCCTTTCATGGGTGGAGGGACGGAGACCTGAATTCCGTTGCCCCCTTTGTCACTCACAAAGGACGTCTGACAAAAGCCTGAGCAGGAGCGCGGGCGGCCAGGAGAGGCGTGGCCTCTGTGTCCTCTCATCAGCCCGACTCTCTGGCTGCTGAGCCACACCCACCCAAGGCCGGCCCACGTGGCTGTGGCTGCCGGGACCGGTCCTCCGGCCTTGCTGCACAGCTGACTTCCGGTCCGTGCGGGGCGAACGCAGGTGTTCCGACTCCATCGGAACCCACGGCCCAGGATGAACAGGAATGCGGTCCGTGCCCCTTCTGGCTCCACTGATCTGAGTGGCTCTGTGTCCCTCGAATGAGGTCTCTAGCGTGTGGGGAGGGGGAGCCTGCTTACTGCCACTTTTCCCGAATTTTTCAGTTTGGGAGACAGGCCAGCCTTTTAACTCGAAGGGGTAGTTTAAAAACCCCTAAGAATAAGACTTCAAGGACTGAGGTTATTGATTGTCCATAAAGACCCATAAATAAAAACTAATGCCTAAGTCGGCCTTTTACAGTTGCATGATCGGACTTCCTTGTTTTCCTTAATACTGTGACAACTTTTATCATTGATTTCCTTTCCCTGCTTGGTGTTCTTCTGGAACTTCACAGTCCTGTTTTCTTCTGGTGTTTAGAAATCACACAGGTTACAAAACCTGGACTAATAGCCAAAGACAGTGTCAGCAACGGTTATTAGCTCAAAGAACTAAAAACAATAACAAAACCTTAGAATGGTTTTATTCACAATGTTAACAAGGCTAAACCAGAAAGGTGTTTATTGTGCAGGACAAGTAAACTTAGAGCAGGACAAGCAGCTTCATGGAACCACATGAAATCACTGTCCCTGTGGCCTGCACAGTCAGTGCTGCCACAGTCGGTGCTGCACACATGCCACCGATGGGCAGTGTGTGACGGGGTCATGACTTACAGGGCTGTCTGAAGAAAGTCCAGCCACCGCTAATATAACGAGAGAGGTTTGCATGAGGTTGACGTCACCTGGCAGCCGAGGAGCGTGGGCTGGGATGTACGTGTGTGAACAGGAATGACTTCACCGCACTGGTCAGTGCGGGTGGCAGACACCACCGAGTGAGCATGTGCAGTGTGTGGCCGTCACATTGGAAATGACTGAGCGAGTAGAGCCACAAGTCTGCACCCAGTTTTGTGTTAAACTTGAACATCCCTCCACGGAAACTAGTCACATGATTCAGAGGCCGCAGCTGCGGGCACCTGCTGACGGGCAGCTTCCGCACGACAACACGCCTGCTCACGCATCCCGCCTCGGGCAGAGTTTTCTGGTGAAACATCAAATCCCCCGGGTGACCCAGCCCCCCTACAGCCCAGACCTCTGGCTTTTCTCAAAACTAAAACCACCTGTGAAAGGGAAGTGAGTTCAGACCACTGATGAGATTCAGGAAAAGACGACAGGGCAGCTGATGGTGACTGGGAGAATTCTGTGAGGTCCCAAGGTGCCTGCTTTGAAGGGGACTTAGGTGTCACTGTCCTTTGTACAGTGTTTCTTGTATCTTGTATCTTCTTCAGTAAAAGTCTCTATTTTTCCTGCCACATGGCTGGAAACCTTGCAGACAGACCTTGTGCAGTTACTCGGCAACCTC